GCCCCCCCACTTTCTCCCAATAGAACTTCGCTCCTCAATTGTCCTACGGTTATGATGAAAAATCCGGTGGTGGTGGTATGGCTGTTCCTGGCCCAATGGTAAGTCTTTGTGGTCTCCAATGTGACCTGAAGAGGGAGAATTTATTGTGGAAGAAGAAAAGGCGGGAGGAATGGTGAAAAGGGAAAGGGTAGGCTTGGGGACAGATATCAGCCAAAGAACCTTTCAGCCTCCTTCATATCTTAAGATGGTGAAGTTTTGCAAGACAGATAAGAGGTAAGGCTGATGGCTGATGCTTGTTTCACACAGAAGTGATCTTCTTGGAGCTGAGAATCAAAGAGTAACCTGATTTTCCTGACCACAGGAAAGTGGAATATGAGCTGAAAGACCCCCTTTCCATAAGGAAAAGGGATCGGGGGATCATTAAATTTAATCATAATAAGGACAGTATTTGTGGTGACTAATAAGGGTTCATGTGAGGTCCCCCCCCCCCAATCATTCAAACATTGACATTAGTAATCCTCACAGTAACTCTACAAAGTAGGCCATTGCTATAAATGCAGGTCATATGTGAGCTCAATATATAGACGGGGTGGGAGTGGTTAGACTCATGTCTGCTATGCTGCATTGAAAAGAAGTGGGAATGCTTGAATATAAGATTGACAGAGGTAACAGAGGGGCACGTCTCCCAAAGCAAAAGCCCCCCCCCCCCCCCCCCCGGAAATTCTTATCTAACGGTGGGTGAGGGCTTTTTCAAAATGTCTTGTATGTTTTGGTCAAACAGAAAGACCCCACGTTTCCCATAAGTTTCTCTCTAGGAGAAATCTGACGACCCCTTGCTAGCCCATTGACAAGCACCACTGGGAAGCCTTAATATCACGGTGACTGTAAAAAAAAAAAAAGAGGTTTTCCCAAACCAATGCAGATGATGGGTCAAAATGAAAATGATACAAAAGGGATGGCTGGATCCAGAAAACAGGAAAGAAAGAAAGGATCTGGGACTCACCATTATGTAGGGCTTTGAAAAGGACGGAGTCAAGCAAGGTCAAGGCAGGCCTAAAGAGCTTGGGTATCAATTGGGTTCTAGAAAAGATGGGAGAAAATCCACTGAATATGACCATCTGATGGCTTCTTCTTGCCTTTCCAGGGTCCAGCTGGTCCCCGTGGTCTTCCTGGTCCTCCTGGTAGCCCTGTAAGTATTTTTTTTGCTTTCCTCATGAGAATTAGGAAGTAGACCTTAGTACTCCTTACATAAGACAGTGTGTGTTTGGAAATTCAGTCAGTGGGTGCATTGTAGAAACACCAAATTTGGTACATGAAGTAGAGTTTGCCACAGGGTATGGGCAATATGTAGGGATACATCCATGGATGCCTGTCAGTGAAAGAAGCAAGGTGGGATGGAGACAGAGTCAGATTTCCATTGGTGAAGAGAGAAATGTTCATTATTCACATAGCCCTCCCCTTCTTTTCATGAATCAGAAGAAATTATACAGAGTAGGCAGAATATATGCAAACATGCTCAATTTGTGTGGTTTACAGAGTTGTGGAATTCAGCCGTTTTTGGCACAGAATTTGAAGTAGCCTTGGTAACGAGTTTCTTTGCGTTTTGGCCATACAGTCTTCTCTTTAGAGGCCTGCGCCATTCAGAATGTTTGCCTTCTCAGTCATTCTTCAGAGGAGGCGATAGGGCAGAGGAAGTGCTTGGCGATTTCGACTTTTCTCTTTGATGTGGAGTGAGGCTCATGTAGTTAGATCACTTTGGTACCACGGCTTAATACCTATGGACTAATCATGTGTGCTGAACTCCAGGCCCAGAAACCAAAGTGATACAAAACCTACCCCAGCCACCCCCAGGGTGAATTTTGGTGCTTGGGCTAACGGGTTCCTGTAATCCCTGCTCTATAGTGACAACTCAGCTTCCTAATCCAAGATGGGCATGAGGATCTAGTTTCTGCTGGGTGCCCTCTGCCCATGCTTGAGAGAGGCACTCGTGACTTTTATTATCGCTGCCCATCGTTGAGGGCTGAGCTCTGGTGAGCCTTGCCTCCTGTTATTCTTTGTGGAGGGCCGAGCCTTGCCTCCTGTTATTCTTTGCCACTGGCTTATAATTGATTTATGCATACTGCATTGTATTCATTTTCTTAGACTGACAAAGCCAAGGTGTAGGAGGAGGTTCAATACATGAGGGGCATGGGGAAGAAGAAGGTTGCAATGGAGGACCAGGCAATTGTTGTCCTGGGTGTTACAAGACGTACGAAAAGAAAGTTTAGGGTTCACAAAGCAGGGGAGGCTGTTCTGGGCCAAGATTCCTGAAAATGGCACGGAAGGACGAGTGGGGGAGGAAGGCGAAAGACAGGACCAGGACTGAGACAGTTTATGGGCTCCTCCAGGATCCATTCAGAACAAACAGGGGTGCAGTCAGTGACTTGCTTTCTAACACAGCTCTTCCTTTGACTCTTCCAGGGCCCCCAAGGTTTCCAAGGTCCCCCTGGTGAACCCGGAGAGCCTGGTTCTGCTGTGAGTACCATCTGATCTCTGCTTTGCATTCTGGTTTCACATCTAGGCCAAGGGGAACGTTTTTCCAGATCTGTTCTTGGAATTCTCTTTTTCCACCGCTCGAGGGAGCTTTCAGGCAGTAGATGCCAGATTCTTTGGCACTCAGAGGCCCTCTCTAGCCTGCCTTTTGAAGATGGAAGGGGGATATCTGCTGGGCTAGAGATAGGAGTGGAGATGTCTTCTAGCCTTTGATTTTAACAAGTGTGTTTCTCCCAACACTCTAGGGTCCAATGGGTCCCCGTGGTCCTGCTGGCCCTCCTGGCAAGAACGGAGACGATGTGAGTAATCATGCCCTTCTTCAGGGGGGGGGGGACCCCTCTTTCTTGCAAAAATCCAAAGATGGGGTGGGCTCATTAGGCAGGTAAACGTCATCTGTGCTGAATTTTCTCGGCAGTCTGGCACGAGTGAGTTGACTCACATACCTGTCTTCAATTATCTCCAGAAAAGGCAAGTGTGGAGGTCAGAGTGCAAGATGTGATTTTTGCACTGGGCTGGATACCTATTCCAGGTGATGATCAAAGAGCAGCTGCTCATGCTCTCACTGCCTTTGGATGCTTTGCAGTCTGCCTGCCCCAGAGGAGTTTGCTCCATTAAACTATGCCATCTTCAGTCAGAGACCTCAAATGTCCAGCTAGCAACTGACAAGCCCCCAGTGAGCCACATTTATCCCTGTCCAGCGCTCCTTCCTCTGCCTTTCCCCTTCCATCTGAGACATGATAGCCTGTGTAGTCTGCAATGCTTTTCAATTGTCTCTTGAAAATTTTAAAACCACTCTTGCCTGGAAAGTTCAATCGTTTGGATCGTTTTAAATTATGTATTTATTCAGGGCACTTATTACTCCACTTTTCTAACCAATGGGAGAAATGATTAACAACAGTTAATCAAATAAAACAAAAGCAAAAAACAACTCCCCCCCCCCAACAAGACTACATGCTGGACAGGTTCTGAATCAAGGGGTCATCTCACTAAATGGTTGCAGAATGTAAGGCCCAGGCTTACAGTCAAGGGCCAAGAGCCCTTTGGTTCATGCTGAAAGGCTCATGCCTCTGGCCACACAAATGCTTAATACCCGGAAGCAGATATTAAACATGCTTACAAACATGGCCCATCACTCTACAGGTGTATACTTCTACATTAGCTGTAAGCATCATTGGTCCAGAACTGACTTGTAACTTTTGTTCTATTCATTCTTCAAGGGTGAAGCTGGAAAACCCGGCCGTCCTGGTGAACGTGGACCTCCTGGCGCACAGGTAAGAAGTTTCTTCCCAGTTTCTAGCTCTTCGTAGGCCAGTCGTCAAGCGACTACACTTTTATAAACAGAGTTTGGAAATTGAGAACTAGATAGTCTTGAAGGTGAGACCAGTTGTCTAGACCAGCGGTCCCCAACCTTCTTCAGCTGTGGGCACCTTTGGAATTCTGACTCAGCGGGGTGGGTGCAGCCATAAAATGGCTGCCACAGGAGGCGGAGCCAGCCACAAAATGGCTACCATAGCTTACCTTCAGTTACACAGTGAAAATCCTTGTGCTACCAAAGCAATGTTTTTTTAAAAAAATTGTGCAGCCAATCAAATCTCCAGTGGCCAATCAGAACTCTTGCTAGGCAAAAGCCCCACATGGCCACTCCCTCTTTCTATAAACACTTGGTGAGTAATGTGATAGGTGTTGGCAGGCATCATGGCGCTCACAAGCACCATGTTCAGGTCCCTTAATCTTGGTAAAGTTATGTAACCTCCCGTACTTTGAAAGAAATTGAAGAAGAAGCCAGAGATCCATATTAGCAAGGAATAATTTAAATATAATCCCTAGGTGCTTTAAATATAATCCATGGGTTTATTTATTTATTTAGGAACCCATATAAGTACAGAAGCCATAAAACAAAACAAGATAAAATCAGTTAAAACATTAAAAAAAAATTCAAACAATCAGATGGCAAATAATTGACCCATCCCAGTTCCAACTGCCAGCTACTTCATGGACAGGGGGGAAGAGGGAGAGGGAGATGTAAACAGCAGAGACCAGAGAAGGGTGCCAACTGAGATGGAAACTTTGCTGTCCTCAACCAATGATGTCTTATTGTTGGGTTTTGCTTAGTAGAGCAATGTTGTGCACTAGAAAAATAATGCAGGCACAGAAACATGTGTGATTAGCTTCTAACAGAAGTTTACTAAATTGAGAAAATTAGGAAGGGTTACATGGAAAAAAATGATAAACATTCTAACTGATCTTTCCTAGTCCTAACTCCATCTTGTCTTCGTCATGGATAGAATGTGCACACACAGAACAAAGGAGAGAGTTTACCCCCCAAAAAAAACCTCCACCTCCTGTGTACATGACAAACTGCATGTAGCATCCTCAATAAATTGTTCGGCCAATAGACATTCCCCAGTTCATCTTAATTAGGAATAATACCTCCTCTTCTCTGACGGGAAAAATGTGCCCAATACCTAATTTGTTCTAACCTGACTAGGTGACATTAGCATACACAAACAACAATTTTACTCTCTCATGACTGAAGTGTAACATTTGCAAAAACCTAACACTTATGATACATTTTTATCTCCCTCGCTTCATCATCCCAAATAATCCTGCAAGGCGGTAGGATAAATTGAGAGATACAGCCTTTCTGAAGGCCACATTGTCTAACTGGCAGGAGTTTGAATCCACATCGAAAACTAGAATTCTCTGCATCACACAGGCTCTAAGAGTCACCAAAACAGATGATTCCCGAGAGACTCCTTCCCAAACTGTGGATTCGGAGCACTTTGGCTTGATCTCAGCCAAAAGAGGCTATTGATCTTGAGTAGGCTTCAAGAGGGATGTTCAAGACAAGACATGATTCCAAGAACAGAATTAGCCATTGAGGATGCATTAGAACTTCTTAGGCCTTTTTAATCATTACGTTACAATGCTGTAGCTATTGATCAAAGGCAGATTACAGATCCTTCAATCATATGAGATGCCTTGATGTGACGATGACTCACACCTACTGAAAGATGAAAGCTCCTTTGTTGTTGTTGCTGTTGTAAAATAATCTCTCGTCTTTTTTGTTACAGGGTGCCCGTGGTCTTCCAGGAACTGCTGGCCTGCCAGGCATGAAGGGACACAGAGTAAGTGCATTCCACTTGTTCAATATCCGGTTAAATTCAGGAACCTTGTAATTCAGTGTCCCAAGACTAAACTACTGTTAGGACAATGCATACATTTCTTTCAAAGCCTTTAAGATCCTCAGAAATTTATTAACAGCACCTGTGATTGTCACAGGGACACCTTCATTGCATAATTCCTGGCAATCATGGCTGCCATAAAGGCGATGGCTTTGGCGCTCTATGTCCTGTTCCCTGTTTGTTGTCCCTCCAGGGCAACTGTGTGAAACAAGATGCTGGACTAGAGGGACCACCCGCCTGATCCAGCAGGGCTTTTCTTATGATCTTGTGTATGACACCCCCAGTCCCGTAGACATGTGAACCTTGGAATAAAGTCCCCTTTTCTGGATGATTACCATAGGAATGAGTCAAGGCCCGAGTTAACAAGGCCATTAAGGGTTTAGTTTAAAAGCTAATCTTGGGCTCCGGTCACACGGGCCGGAAAATGCGGGGGGGGAGCGTGGCTGTTTGCCCCGGAGCAAAATAACGCGCAGTTGCGCAATCAGACGTCCCATCGAGGTCCCGTCGAGGTTCCGTGGTTGGGGGGAGGTGCCAATCACACGACCATCCTGCAGCGTGGCAAAGAAGCAGCGCGGCGCGATCACAGCAGCAATGGCTAGGCACCGCTGCCGTGGCAAACAAGGTTGTGTATTTTTTTTAACTGCAGTGTGCGCATGTGCCGTTGGGTGCTTGTGCGCATCCCCTGGAGACTTGGGGGGGGACTTTTTCGCGATGGGACATGGGCGGACGCCGGATGCCACGAATTACCACCGGAAATGCGATCAGACGCCCGCCCTTGCCCCACGGTTTCCGGAAACTAGTACCTCAGAGGTACTAGTTTTTTACAGCGCATCTTCGGCGGGAAGCCTCGGGTTAGCCATGGGAGCTCTACGCTGCCCAGATGTTGCGGTGAGATCACGCCCGTAAAATCCGCCTATCTTCCGTCTCTGTAGCGTGGCTAATGCTCCGTGTGACCGCAGCCTTGATTAGTTTAAAAGCTAATTTTCTATTTTAGTTGAGCATTGCATTATGGAGCTCATAGCATTTTTATTTAAGCATAAAAGTACAGACACACACACGCACACCCCCTTTTGGGAGTTCTCCTGCTTGGATTCTAATAGTTCTCTTCTTTCTCCTTCTCCATCCAACCATCTGTCTACTTGTTTTAGGGTTTCAGTGGTCTTGATGGTGCTAAGGGTGATTCTGGTCCAGCTGGTCCCAAGGTGAGTCTCCACGTTACATGTGGACTTCCTAAAAGTTTGTAAAGACTTCCTTTTCCTCCTCTTTCAGTATCTGGATACTGACATCTGTTTTGGGTTCCCCCCCACTTTCTTTAGGGTGAACCTGGCAGCCCTGGTGAGAATGGTGCCCCTGGACAAGTAGTGAGTATATATTATTCTCATTCTTCCATCCACTGTTTTGAAGGAATACATCATTTGTCACCTTTGCAAGCATAGATTGAGTACAGTGTTCTCTCTAAGATGAGTTAGTGTGAGCTAGCTCACAGTTTTTTAGCCGCCGGTTGACACATTTTTGTCTTAGCTCAGGAAGGATGGCTGCAGAGCAGACCGATCTATGCAGTAGCCAAATCCCTCATTCACAACTTTAATGCCAGTGACTCACAGAGTAGAATCTTTGCTCACAAGACTCCGCAGCTTAGAGAGAGCATTGATTGGGTATCAGCAAAAAAGGGGGTGGGGTGAGAGTTGTCCCACTTACATCGCTGAAACCAAGGAACTGCATTTCCCTGGAGTTATTTCAGTTAGTTGGCTCTAATCTTGGATTCCGTTAGAATTTATTCCGAATCTGCTCCATCTTTGGAATCAACTGAAACTCGTTTATCTGAAGATGTCCTGTATACTACGCTTTCTTCACGATCTGTCCAATGAGCACTGGCGACCATTTGATTACCTCACGTTAACTACAGAAATCGGTGCAAACTGAGGGGATTTTCAGTCTGAATCCACCCTTACGTGATGTCCTCTGTGAGGAACAGAACCCCTTGAAATGAAGGAGGGATGCCAAGGAGAGCCGCGGGCTCTGTGGAAGATTTCTTCTTTCCCCCAGGGGCAAGGACCAGGAGCCTTGGAAGAACTGGATGTTAGTAGCATCCGAGTAGGAAAAAGAACAGAGAAAAGGCTCTTTCTCTTCGTCTGATGGACCCCCACGATGATATTTAGCAACTTTCAGATGCAGTTACAGACCGATACAAAAGAACAGAAACACATAGCAAGAGAGAGAGAGAGACCCTGACTGGGAAACAGGAAGGGGTGTCTTTAAATATCAGCTTTAAGTTAGGGGCTTCTGTACAGAACGAAGAACCAAATTAGGCCTTCCAGATGAGGATCCTGGCAAATCAAGCCTTCTGGTTGATGAGAGAACTCATCAAAGCCAGTAGACGTAGAGCAATGATATACATGCTAGAGAAAAGACAGGCCAATGAAAGGATGGGGCATAGTAACGGGGCGCCGATCAAAAAGATGCTTTCTCTCAGCTGACCGTGTTTCATCTTCTTCTGCTTAGGGCCCACGTGGTCTTCCTGGTGAGAGAGGCCGCCCTGGTGCTTCTGGCCCTGCCGTAAGTATTTCCCCTGTACACTGCTAGACCCCGACATACTGCGGTCCTTGAAGGGCTGGCCCCGGTTCGGCGCGAAACTGGTTGTAACTCAAGTTGCTGTCCCTCCCTACAGGGTGCTCGTGGTAACGATGGTGCTGCCGGTGCTGCTGGCCCCGCAGTAAGTATTTCTGTTGTGTCCTGCTTCTCCTAATTGGCCTTAATAGTGCTAAGGGCGATTATCACTTTCTGGGCAGAGAGCAATTCAGCCATGAAAAATGTTGGCTACTGTCAACCTCTGGGTTTGTTCTATATGGTGGGTCTGCAAGGCAGGCCGCTCCTGCAATTAACCAGCTACGGGAAGGCATAATTTTGTCTCAACTTTCTCCTGTCTGTTTTCAAAGCAGAGGCCAGACCCTTGGCCACAGCTGGTGCTGAGTGGGCTGGTGCTAGGTGGTAGTTAGGCTGAGGCTGTAAGGAGAACTGTATAGCCACCACTTCATGTCTTGTCCCTTCTTCTTTTAGGGTCCCACTGGTCCAGCTGGTCCCCCTGGCTTCCCTGGCGCTGTTGGCCCGAAGGTAAGAACACTGACTAACTCAACATCTATAAATAACTGCTTTGGGGGAGATTCACCACAGAAGTGTCACAGTGGCTGAATTATTTCATTATTCGTTTTTACCAACTTCATTTAGACTCCATCTTTCTGCCCGATGGAACCCAAAGTGACTCACATTGTTCTCGACTCCATTTTTATCCTGACAATAACCCTGTAAGCAGGTTTGGCAGAGAGTGCGTGACTGGCCCAAGCTCACCCAACAAGCTTCCATGGCAGAGTAGGGATTCGAACTTGGGTCTCTCAGGTCCTAGTCAGACACTCGAACCACAACACCACACTGGCTCCCCTTTAGCCCAACCTCTCCGACCACAGTATTCTGTTTAATATTTTTAAGGGAAGGCTTTGGTTTTGCAATCTGTTTTTTAGACTGCTGTATTGACATCTCTGTTCCTTACCACATACCTCTTAATAAACCAACCACGAGCATTTCATTCATCTGAACTACTACTCATAACCCCCAGTAAGGAGACAGTTTTTGAAAGAGCTTCTTCCTAAAAACCTGTGGGTCATCCTGGCTTAGCTACAAGACTGAGAAACATTCACTGCTAAACTTGCCGCCATTCTCATATGACAGGAGTGGGTTGGTTGCCCATAGTACCATACCAAGCCACCTTAGAAATGTTTGAACCCTAAGGCCCAACCTCATTGCTTTTCATTCTAGCATCACATATGCCTATAGCTGACAACTCCAGCTTGGGAAATTTGTGGAGATTCAGGGGTGGCACCCGGCAAGGACAGTTTGGGGAGGGGGCAGAGCTCAGTGGGGTACAGTGCCCTAGAGTCCATCTTTCACAGCTGCCATTTTCTCCAGGAGGACTGATCTCTGTAGTCTGGACTGGAGATCAGTTGTAATTCCAAAAGAACTCCAGGCCCCATCTGGAGGTGGGAAGTTGGCAACTCTACATATACCTCAGGGACTGATGATGATGCTGTGGGAAGTGACCACACTGTAGAACCTTCCGCATGATCTCCAGGTTATGATAACCAAATCAGAGGTGGAACCATAAAGGAACGGTAATGAGACTGTCCCAGTAATATAAGAAGTATAGGCCACAGACCTTACAAGTAGGCTTCCAAGACGCGGAATGAAAACTTCATTGAAAGGGAGTAATCTTTCTCCAGCAGCAAGCCTCAGTTATCCGGACTCAGATGGAGTGAGGTTCTGATAAGCCTCATTTAGGTGACAGGACCTGTAGTAGTATAGCAACCTGACAGGAAAACAGAACCTTAAGACCTCAGTAAGAGAAGGTAGGGAGTAGTAAAGATTGTCAGGAAAGGAAGATGTCACCATCAGCCCTGAGGAAGACTACTTATGTTCCCTCTTCTTTCTTTTGCTGCTCAGGGTGAAACTGGTCCCCAAGGTGCTCGCGGTGGTGAAGGCCCACAAGGAGCTCGTGGCGAACCTGGCCCAGCTGGTCCTGCTGGAGCTGCCGGTCCTTCTGTAAGTACTAACACCAGTTCATTTCCCCCCATTTTTATTCATTCTGGTATTCATCAGAATTTTCCAGGAGATATTCTTCTCTGATAATAATCCGCCTCTTTTCCTCCTCTTCTTCTGTTTTAGGGCAACCCTGGTTCTGATGGTCAACCTGGTAGCAAGGGAGCCACTGTAAGTATCATTTCACAGTGTTATTCTCACTTCCTCTACCATCACCACTGCCGACATTTGTCTTACCAGCTTTGTTCACTCTTCTAGGGTGCTCCTGGTATTGCTGGCGCTCCTGGCTTCCCTGGTGCCCGTGGCCCAGCCGGACCTCAGGGTCCCAGCGGCGCTCCTGGACCCAAGGGTAACAGCGTAAGTGTCACCTCATGGTCATTTGTCTTTTTTTTTCCCATTTAAGTCACATCTACCTTCAAAGGCTGTTGAACAAATGAAGAGCTGGGCATCTGGGCTCACCCTTCAGCTCCCACTGATTTCCTTAATCACAAGAGACCACAGGGATATGATTGCCAACTCTGGGTTTGAAAATTCCTTTAGGTTTGGGAGTGGAACCTGGGGGGGTGTTTTGGGGAGGGGAGGGACCTCAGTGGGACCTCAGAGGGACTGTAGAGTTCACCTGCCAAAGCAGCCATTTTCTTCAGGGGGACTGATCTCTGTAGTCTGGCAGTAGTAATTCCAGGAGGTCTTCTGGCCCCACGTGGAGGTTGGCAACTTTAGCAATGCAGGAAGTATCTTCCTCTGTGTATGCCCCTATTGCAGGCTCTCTAACTGTGTTTGCTCAATAATAGCAGTAGCTAAGTCCTCAGTATGTCCACCCAGTTTCTGAAATGTTCCAGATATGTATCCAGTGTATGTTAAGTGCCATCAAGTCACTTCCAATTTATGGCAACCGTACACATTTACATGTCATACTTGAGCAGAAACAGTCTCAAAGCCGTTCACATGCAAAGGCTGAAATCAGTAAGTTACCTAAACTTCAACTTATGGCAACCCTGTACATCAACGACCTCCAAAATGTCTTATCATTAACAGCCTTGCTCAGGTCTTGCGAACGGAGGGCCCTTGTGGCTTCCTTTATTGAATCAATCCATCTCATGTTGTGTCTTCCTCTTTTCCTGCTGCCTTCAGCTTTTCCTATTGTCTTTTCCAGTGACTCTTGTCTTTCATCATGTGACCAAAGTACAATAGCCTCAGTTTAGTCGTGTTAGCTTTTAGGGAGAGTTCAGGCTTGGTTTGAAATAGAACCCACCAATATGTCTTTTTGGCAGTCCACGATATCCGTAAAACCCTCATCCAACACACCACATTTCCAATGAATCAACTTTATTCCTGGACTAGATGGCCTGTATGGCCCCTTCCAACTCTGTGATTCTATGATATGATTCAGTTTTCTTCTAAAAACCTTCTAAAAATCTGGCTGATTTGGTTACCACTTTGGTCACTTATCAAACCACTTTGGTCACTTATCAAACCTCCCAACAAGTACTGTGGTCTGAAATTCTGAAAATTACACTATTCCAAAGCTGCTTTTGCGCAGCCAGTGAGATTTTTTTTATATATATACAATGAGATTTTTAGACATATTATCAAAACGTCAAGTAAAGGTAATGGTATCGAAATGTACATTTTAAAGGTAACCATTCCAAAATGACTGAAAAGGATGTTCCAGACACCTTGTTCCACAGAGAGCTTGTCAGCTAGAATACCTGTTCAGATATGACACATGTTGGGAGGAATTTTATCAGCTTCCCTTGCTATGCTTCCCATCGCCAATCCCTTTTTGACAGGTGTCAAAGCTAATTACTGGTTGCGTTGGCACTTTATCCAGAGCTGTCCTTCCCTAGACGGTGTTGTTAACAGAGCCTGCGAGAGCATCACAGAGAAACCACCTAGTCTTGTCCTCTTGAAGGAACTCAGTAGGATAAGGAAAAGAAATGCATCATTGTGTTGCTTTCACTGAACCAGAGAACTGATTCTTTTATTTCTTTTCATATCTCTAGGGTGAACCTGGTGCTCCTGGAAACAAAGGTGATGCTGGTGCCAAAGGCGAATCTGTAAGTCTCCTTCTCGCAAATCCACATGTGTTGCAACTGTAATTTTCCCCAGTTTTGCTTCCAGAAGCAATTGCCCTCATTGTCTTAATTGGCCTTTCCTTAGGGCCCCGCTGGTGTCCAAGGTCCCCCTGGGCCCCCTGGTGAAGAAGGCAAGAGGGGATCCCGTGGTGAGCCTGGACCTGCTGGCTTGCCTGGACCTGCTGGCGAACGTGTATGTAGCATCTTTCATCTTTTAGTCTTCCCCCATCTCTGGGCACTAGGGTCTCATATGCTTGGAGCACCTGTTCAGAACGGTTTGTTTGTGAGCAGGACATAAGTCCCTTGAATATACCCACAGTACATTATTCAGCAGATTAGCTAGGAATTGCAAAAACCATTTGCAAAGGAAACCAAAGCTGACCAGAAAGCAAGACACAAGTCTCAATCAATCAATGGGTCATTCCCCCAGGGAAAGCTGTTCCGAAAACAGAGCACGCTGCCGAACTTCAAAGGAAACTGAATCTGCAGGCGTGAGGCTACCTTTGCCAGCGATTAGCAAATGTCTATTAAGAAAGTGAAGACTTACAATGCAATTCTATGCAGAGTTAGCCCACTGACTTCAATAGGCTTAGGCTGGCATAACTGCACAGGATTTCACTGCCAATTAACACACAGTGTGTCCTTTGCTCATTTAGTGGTCTAAACCCACAAGGACTAACTATTTAGGCATCATAAGTGAGCTGGATCTTTCTGTTCTCTCCCACTGAACAAATCTGCACTGCATTCACTCCACAGCTTCTAAGGATTTAAGTTTTGCTCACACATTACAGTTGAATCCACGTACATTCTGGATGTGCATGTGTATATTCTTTGAGTTCAGTGGCACCTCTAAGACCAGCAAAGTTTAATTCTGGGTACAAGCTTTCATGTGCAAGCACAGTTCTTCAGAAACTGAAGATTCTGAAGAAGTGTCCTTGCACACGAACGCTTATACCCAGAATTAAACTTTGTTGGTCTTAAAGCTGCCACTGGACTCAAACTTTGTTCTGCTGCTTCAGACCAACACGGCTACCCACCTGGATCTATCTTCATGTGTGTACATTTGTTTGTAAAAAAAAGAAGAAGAAGAAATATCCAATGCATATTCATTCTACAAATGAAACTGGGAACCAGTACCTGGATAAAGGTGGGGTTTGAATCACACATTCAGCTATACACGTATTGAATGTAACATGAGAATTACTCGAGACGTGTATAAAGAAAAATCGGGTATATACTGTACACAGGTTGTACATGTGTTCCCTGTAACTTGGGAACAGGGCTTTAGTTAAATCTTGCTCTAGAAATCAGCCCTGTATTTCCTCTCCATTCCTCAGCTGAAACCACCGGACAATTTCATGAGAACCGATTCATACTGAAAATAAACCATCTTTAAGGTCAAAAAGCCATCCTCTCTGTTTGGTGACAATCAAATGTCTTCAACTCCTTCAGGCCAATGAGATCAAAACTCCCCTTCCATCGTCATACTCCTCCCCCCTTTTTACATTGTCCTATAAGGTGTTGCATAATACTCTTGAATGAGACACCTGGGAAACTGCTGTGTAGGTTTCTTTCTGGATTAGAAAAAAGACCCTATAAGGGGAGTCCTGCTGGGACCAGACAAGAGGTCCATCTGTTCCATCATCCTGTTTAACAGGATGGCCCTACAGTTGCCCTGGAGGGCCGACAAACAAGGCATAGAGGCCTGATCCTTCACCACAATGGTGCCTCCTAGCACTGGTATTCAGAAGACGGCTAGTAGCCATTGATGGACCTCTCCTCCTTGAATCTATCTAATCCCCTTTGAATAAGAACATATGCAACTTTTTCAGCACCTTTTCTCTATTTGGAGTCACAGGTGCTGCCTTGAGGCAAAGGGAGAGTTGATTAGTACACAAGCCTGCCTTTAGCCAGAAGGATGAATGATGGTTCTTGAGAGAAAAGCATTCTTATTGATTACATTTATACACTCCTTTCTTGAACCATTCAGCTCAGGGTGATCTCCAGGAGGTCTTCCATCCAGACCCATAAACCACTAAGGTGCAGCAAGGTTCCTGTATCTTGTGCCCTCAGACCATATCCTGGGCCCATTATTCCAAATCTGGAGTTGCCCTGTGTGGATCTGTGGATGGGGTGATGTGATGTGGATGGGAGTCTGTCGTGGGAATCGGTGGAGTGCCTGGATTCAGTAGCCTTTGACAGCGCAATCTTGAGCATGTTTACTTAGAAGTAAGCCCTGGTGAATTCACTGGGATTTACTGCCACACAAGGTGTCGCCAATGAAATGACAATGGAACGTGGTAGCCAATCAGATGACAATGGAACTTTACTTAGCACTGTGCCATTCGTGCAGCAGACGCGCTAACCAGTAATGGAACTTTACTTAGCACTGTGCCATTCATGCACAAGCAGACGCGCTAACTAGCTTGTGCAAAGCGGCCTATGCAATTCTGCATAGTGTTGTATTGCATTTCCAAATTAATAAAGTCGAGTTGTATTTTAAAAGACAGTCTTCTGTGGGGGGGGAACCCCATTGTGTGTTTACAAATATGCACGGATTTGCAAAACTGCGCATAAACCACTATAACTATGCTTGTGCTAGGCCTTACAGTGGTGGAAGACGAGATCTGGATATAATAGAGTTAACTTAGTTCATGCCTCTTGCAAAAAGTTTAAAAATGCACTTCCGCCTGCACAACAGCACTTTCACATGTACTATAGGACAGAGGCCAGTGATTTTTTTCCCCCTGCCTGCAACACGATAAGTGGTCCTATTTTAACATTCTGACAAGAGGGTCCTCTTTGGGGCTCGCATATTGGTAGAGCTGGATAGGTGGCACTCACCTCATCTCCTTTCTCCCCTTCACAGGGTGCTCCCGGAGGCCGTGGTTTCCCTGGCTCAGATGGCATTGCTGGTCCCAAGGTAGGTGTCTGTCCCATGCTGTTGGTATCTTTTCTACAGAAAGAAAGGCATAGACATTCTAAAAAGGACTACACCTCAAGGTCTTATGGAAGCCAATAGCCACACTCCCATTATTCCCTTGAGGTCAGGGATGAGGGATTAGGATGAAATCTGGCCAATGTTTTCTTGAAGTGAAACAGTACTTCCACACTGTGGGGCAGAATTTGGGGCAGGGGAGATGTGGATTTTCCATACTTTAAAAATTGATTCTTCCCCCCCCCCCAGCCTACAGTTTAAAACAATTTAGAATTAAGGTGAGGTTCAGTAGTTTAGCGGTATTATATTTTTACACGCACAGTAAAGTTTACTGTGTTGGGCCCTCATAAGAGACTGTGAGGTAGGCCAAAGGTGCACCCTAGTAAAGTCTGTTTGGTGACAATCATATGTCTCGAATTCCTTCAAACCGATGAGTAGTTGAACTGTTACAAAAAGAGAGAAAGAAAGAAGGAGGAATTCTGGGGATCCATATTCTATGGCATGGAACTCCTCCCATTTTACCTCAGATGTGTAGGGACTGTCCAGATTTACTCGGCATTGTGGGAATGACATTTTGTACATGATGTCCGGGGGTTCTGGCATGCTGTACGTATTCCTCTGTCCATTAAAACAGGACCATTTTTTTGTTTCTTTTATCTGTATCTCAGGGTAGAAGGTGACTAACAGTTAAACATCTAAAAAAGACATTAAGATCCGGCATTAAAATATAAGGTTAAAAGAAACCGACAGTTTCCAATTTGAACTAACTTCTGGGTCTATATTATCATCGCTTTACAGATAGGGAACTAAGAGGGGGGTTGAGGTAACCACTGGCCCAGACCCATACTGAGTTGATAGCAACCGTGTGACTTGAATCCAGATTTTTGGGGTTGTGATCTAGCTGCCCAGCAAACACCAAAAATATAGGGAGCTTCCAGACACCAAAGGAACATCTGCATCTCCCCAAAGCATCTGAACAATTTCGTAGGAGCTTAAAGGAGCTGGCAAGGCTTGACCATCAGACAGACTGGAGGCCTTTACTGCTCCTTTAGGAGCTTAAAGGAGCTGGCAAGGCTTGGCCTTTACTGCTCCGTTGTCCTCGAACCTTCCATGATCCTTACTCCCAAGTGACAAAAACTGCTTTTGATGCCAGCTCCTCTTTCTCCCCTTCCTGTTGTTTCAGATCAAATTGTACTGTCAAGCTGGGTGCCAAGGTCTGAAGTATATAAAGTGCTCCTCCCCCCCCCATCCCACAAAAATCACTTTCAACTTTCCCCACCCCGTTTATTACATACCCCAAGGGCTTTTGTGAGCCTTTTGTTCTGGGCACCAGAACTTGGCTGGGAAACAGCTTCCAGCTTTCCTTCCACCTTCTCCCCCTTTCCATCCCTTTAAGCGCTTTCATCCACTTCAGTGCTTTCATCCTTGGATTTCATATTCTGCCCCTAAATCACCATAGGTTGAATCCAGCCAGCTTTCTCATCCAATCTTGTCTAATCGTCCTCTTTAGTGCTGTCCCCGTCCCACATGGCTTTTGTCCATGTAGGGCTAAAGTAGCCTTTCGATGTGGTTGAAGGGGACCGTTTCTTCCCTTTTCACCAGCAGAAAAGATGGTAGGATCCAACCTTTGGGAATTATCCAATTTCATTCTAAGTGGGCTTGCTGGTATTAATTTGATTTAAATGGAACCGAAACCACAGCATATACTGCTCATACGAGGGCACTTTGGGCCTTTTGGTGGACCAGTGGCGCAGCTAACATATTATTATTTTGCAGATCCATGTATGCATTTTGAGCTCCCCCAACTCCAAACCAAGCAGTACTGACCTCCATTCCCCATTCACCTCTTTGTATTCTATTATTCTTTGAGTCTAGCACTACTAAGAGGGTCCAGGAACTTAGGACAACAATTCACTCACCTCTAACTCATACAATCTTTTCTTGACTCCTTTTCTTCTTCCAGGGTCCCCCTGGTGAACGTGGATCTCCTGGCCCCGCTGGTCCCAAAGGATCTACTGGTGAAGCTGGACGCCCTGGCGAACCTGGTCTCCCTGGAGCCAAGGTAAGTGAATGACAAGTGCTTGGACAGAGGCACAGTCCCCAAACAGGAAGTAGCTCCATGGCTTCCTGTTCACTCCTGTGCAACAGAGAACAAGGCATACTGTATCACAAGACTCCATTTCAATAGATTTGGAGCCCAGATCAGAACTTAATAGTGCCCCATATCAGGGAGTCATAAGCTTCTCTTGATCTGATAGCGAGTAATTTTCATTATTTGTATTTTCAGCATACCTTCTTAATGCGGGTTCAGGGCAGGCGGGCAGCATTCCCCACTGAGCAAAACAGAGTTCAGTCCTATTGTTAAACCAATGCGATACAACAGTAATGCTACTGATATCACCCTTTCCTCTGAAGGGGGAGAACTAGGGGTTAGTTCTTGTGGATAAATTTACCATACAGAGCATTCCTTTTTGTGCAATGTGCAAACCTGGAATAAAACACAAAACAGCAAACATTTCCCCTTTCTCTTCACTTAATCCATAGGCTTTTCCAGATCTAGACAATGAGGAACTCCTTGTACCTTTAAAGAGTTGGATGGAAAGGGTCCCATCACATTATTATAGTGATGGGAGAAGCCTGATAGGATGGTCTCTTCCATGCTTCTATGATACAGGGGCCTCTCAAGGTTCAGAACTGACCACTTAATAATTCAGAATACCCAATAAAAGGTATACATACACTATTCCAGATTCCCTACCACCTTCAAAAAGGAAACCACAGTCCTGTAAAAGTAAAATAGAACGTTTAGGTATGCATTCCTTGCCCATTTGTTATAACAACCAGTTTAAGAGACCTCTAACAACAAGCTTTATAGATACTAAACAGAATAAAACTGGGCTAAAAGGGGAAACTTTTTGTTTGTGTACAAAGTTGCAAATTTTCATCAATAGGAGAAGCCCCCCCCCCCAATATATTTGCCCTGTTGGTGGTGGTGGTGGTGGTGGTTTTGGTGCATCCTCTGCTCAAATCACCAAAAACAGGGCAAATATATAGGGGCTACGCTGATCCAGAATGCCAGATATGTTTACCCCCGTGGCACTGTGACATCACCCACCTATGTGATTTGTGACTGGCTGGGATCACTCCACAAAGGGGGGGGGGAGCCTTTTAAAATAAAAAACAGAAGCGACGGGAAACAATTACTGCAAACAGCTGTGAAAAGTGCCGGGATGGGGGGAAGGGGAAAGCAAAGTTCAAAGGAGAATTTCAGTCTCCGGAAGGATCCCATTTTACTTGGAACCATGAATGGCCATCCAGGGCAGCCCTAGAAATAAGTGACTTGCACAAAGCTTCCAGCACACCAAGGGCTGAGCCACTCAAATACTTCCCGGACTGGGCACCTCAGCTCTCGAGAGCTGTCCCTTGCTCCGTGGCTTGAGCCCTGCTTCCCAGCAACCACTCCGAGCCACAAATGGCTTGCTAATTTATTTTGTCCCATTTATTAACCATTTTTCAACCAAGGCGACATCTCAAATCAAAAGCCATCCAAAATCAGTTTCGAGTAGCCTAGGAAAACCCAGAAAATAGCAATAAAGCAATATTAGCACTGGAACTAATGAATGGAACTCAAGTGGGGAAGTTTTTTAAAAACAGGAAAATCTTCATTTACTGGCAAAAGAAATTCCAGCGGCAAAGGGATTTATTGGATGTATTAATTATCCAAATATTCTGCCACAGCTGGAGAGTATTTGAATGAAGAGCAAGGCAAATCCAGCTGTTTAACAATTGACACATAGAGGGTTCGATCCAGCCAGCTGTTTGGCTTAATCTTGTCTGATTCCGCTCCTTAGTACAGCCTCCATTCCACAAGGCTTTTTTCCACACATGTCCCACAATCCCCACCATCGCCTTCTTGGTAGTCATAGGGGACCCACTCCTTCCTTCTTCTCCAGTGGAAAAGCTGGCTGGATGCAAACTCTACACTGTGTGTCAAAATGTTTTGTTTCCATTGGCCAGAGGTTTAAAGTCCTGGGAAGCGAGTGTCATTCTAAACCTTGAATGAATTGAAGCAGTTGGATTCTGCACGAATACGACTGTTTCCCTCAGTGAGATGTGCAAGGCAGGTCAAAAAGAAATCAGTCTACGGAGCTGAATGTTTTAGCAGTTGAACGTATCACATGCTGCTTCCCTGGATGGAGCTAGATAGGATTGTTTCAGAATTTCTTTTTTGCATAGGGGAAGCTAAGGTTCAGAAAGGAGCCTAGCAAAAAAATCCCATTGGAAGATAGGCTACTGAAGCTCACACGGACATACACACTGATCAGGTCAACACTGATAAGGTCAACCTGACTGTCGTGAGTAGTTCCAGGGGTGTGTCCCACCATTTTCTGACACACTGCGAAAGATTCTGTGGCACACCTCCCAGATCACAGTGTTGAGATTTAGGGCATCAGACAAGCCCATCCTATCCTTTAAGAACATAGCAAGAGCCCTGTTGGACCAGACCAGTGGTTCATCTAGTCCAGCATCCTGTCTCACACAGTGGCCAAACAGTTCTTCTGGACTGCCAACAGGGCATAGAAGCCAAGACCTTCCCCTTATAAGAACATCAGAAGAGCCCTGTTGGATCAAACCAGTGGTCCATCCAGTCCAGCATCCTGTCTCACACAGTGGCCAAACAGATCTTCTGGAGGGCTAACAACAGGGCACAGAGGCTGAGACCTTCCCCTGATGTTGCCTCCTGGCTCTGGGATCCAGAGGTTTAGTACCTCTGAACATGGGATTTCACCTCAGTCACCATGGCTAGTAGCCACAGATGGACCTATCCTACATGAATCTATCTAATCCCCTTTTAAAGATGATAATCCCCTTGTCTACTCTAACTGGCCCACACTCTTTGTTAACCCACTGAAGGCTGCTTCCTAACTCTCTCTCTCCCTCCATTTTTAAGGGTCTGACTGGTAGTCCTGGCAGCCCTGGACCCGATGGCAAGACTGGACCCACTGTAAGTAATTGTATGGCCCTCTTCTGTGCTGCTCTGAAAGGATTTTGAGTGAGGACAAGTAATTGCACTGGTAACTTCTTCTCCCTACAGGGCCCTGCTGGTCAAGATGGACGCCCTGGACCTGCCGGTCCTCCAGGTGCAAGAGGTCAGGCTGGTGTGATGGGATTCCCTGGACCTAAAGGTGCTGCTGTAAGTAACAACTCTCTAGTTGGTTCCTTTTCCTGGACAAAATCTCGAGTTCCCTGGGAGGGTCCTGTGTTTTCTTTTTAAATATGTGTGTGTGCATGTGTGTGGGGGAGTGTCCATGCACCTGGAAGTCATGACGACCTCTGGTGACTGACCTCTACTGGGGGCCTGGGGGATATTCAGAGAGACGGCTGAGTAAAGCCTGCCCCCACCTCCTGACTGCTGGTATTTCAAGGAGGTCTCCCATCCAAGTACTTGCCAAAGTCAACCCAGCTTAGCTTCCAAGATCTGATGAGATCAGGCTTGCCTGGGCTATCCAGGTCAGGGCTGGTCCTGTGTTTTCTGATGATCACCCCAGAAATAGAGTTAGTGTCAACAGGGCAGTTTTTCAGTACTCTGTAACTTCTGGTAAGGGCTGTTTCCAGGGCTTCCTAAAAGAATGGCAGCATTTGGTTCCCCATAGTTGCCTCACAAATGAGTGGCTCAAGAAAGGTCGAAATTCAGTGTGGTTTCCATATTAAGTTACGGTTCTGCTTCTGCCGTTAGAACAGCAGAATGGAATCATGGCCTCACACTCCCTAGATGGATCAGTTCTTACAAGCATCTTCTCCTAAACTGAATATTCAGTTCGTATCTCAGATAGTTTACTTGAACTGACTTTTGCCCTAAATTATAGAGGGCTTATCTGGTCTCAAGAACATGTGTCCAAAAGTTCCCTGCGTCCTGGTTATAACTTTGGAAAGATATCCTAAGATGTCACCAAAGTAATTAGAATAGTCACACACACTCCAGAAATGGGTGTTATGAATCATTTCGTGGTGGTTTCCCCCTTCCACTATTTCTTAGTATAAATTTGTGTCCAGTTATAGGTGTTTGGAGAAGTATATAAATTTTCTAAATGAACAGATAATATAACTGCAAATGTTATCTCTGGAGCACATCCTAATGTACCAAATACTATCAGGACTTCCTCTTTGGAAATTTCCCACAGCAGCTTTCCACACTTCCATTTTTAAATTGCTTCAGTGAAATGTCTATAATGAGCAGGCCATTATGATTCAGATGAGCATGAAGATAAATATTTGCTTTAGGGAGTTTTCTCTCCCTTTTTCTGGCAATCCATCACCTCTAGATTATGAACTAGATAAAAGTGGGAATTAAAAATACAGTTGGTTTTCCCCAGTGGTGATGTCTAGAAAAGTAAGGAGTTTGTAGATAAAATCCAGAGGAAAAATGATGGGAAATTTTCAGACGTAGAGGCTCAGTAAGTCTGACATCCAAGACAGAATGTGCCTCTGTTTGAGAACAGTGTGACAAGACACTCTTGGCCTAACTCCATTCTTAAGAAAGCAGAGATGCAAGCATTGCTGTTTCCCCAGCAAACAGTCATCAACTTATGGATCAAAGTTTGCACACTGCCAGCACATAGAGGTGTGATTGATCCTCCAGGGTTTGTCCTAGTGCAGGTTTAGCATGGACAGTGAATTGCATGGGAACCAAAATCCGTGTGTTTGCTGCAAATACAGATGCCTATGAAGTTACACTCCCTTTTTTTCCCTTTCTCCTCTTATAGGGTGAGCCTGGCAAACCTGGCGAGAGAGGTGCTCCTGGATCTGTTGGCGCTGTTGTAAGTATTCAACACTGGAATAATTCAACAACTTCTTCCATCCTGTCCAGACCAGGCCTCTGAAAAACTAGAGGGATTTAAGTATTTTGCATTTGTTTGGAGGGATGTCTGGCTTGCCACCTGCCATCAGAACAGACTTATTTAATTCCAAGTATTTGTCAGGGACTTAGAAGGGATGAAGTCCCAGAGAGTTTGCCATCAACATTCGAAGGGGCTGTGGCTCAGTGGAAGAGCCTCTGCTTTGCATGCTGAAGGTCCTAGGTTCAGTCCCCAGCATCTCCTGTTTTTTAAAAAAGGACCAGGCAGTAGGTAATGTGAAAGACCTTTACCTGAGACCCTAGAGAGCCACTGACAGTCTGAGTAGATAATACCTACCTTGATGGACCCATGATCTGATTCAGTATAAGGCAACTTCATATGTGACCTACCAGTGAAGGTGGACAGTGAAGGAAGAGGTTTAGGTCTACCAAGCAAGTAGTATCAATGTCACACTGACCAGTCAATTGGCAGTGGAACAGCAGAGGAGGAGGAGCTCAGAGTGATAAATGAGAAGAGACACAATCAGAGGCACAGTGTTTTAAGGCCCCCTCCTCTTTTCTTCCAGGGTCTTCCTGGTAAAGATGGTGAAGCTGGTGCACAAGGACCTCCTGGCCCAAGTGTAAGTATACTCTTTTTTTTGTTATTTTTCACATCTTCTGCACCTTTGGCAGCTACCTCACTTTGATTCCTATTGTCCCTTGAACCTTTCCTTGATTTTCATCACAGGGTCCTGCTGGAGAAAGAGGTGAACAAGGTCCAGGTGGAGCTCCCGGATTCCAGGTGAGAGATCTTCCATGTAACTTGACACACCGTAAAACCTATGTCTATTTTGTCCTCAGCAAAATTCCAAGTGTCGGAAATCAGGAAAGGTTTTGTTAAAAAATCTGAAGATGGCGCCGAATAATGAAAATTAAGTACAGTTGCATCTGGTTGCTTTAAATTTGTATGGTTTGTTGGGTTTCCTTGCTTCAGGTTTTAGATTTTAGTTTTTTTTGCAACTTTTGTTCTTCTTCTGAGAATGAGCTAGAAGGGGGATGGGAGGTGTACAGCAGAAGAGTAGATAGACCTGGAGAACTCAAGGAGGACTAGGAGTTTACAATTGGGGGAAAGGAAAATTTCAGGTGATATAATCCAAGATAGACAATAAACTTTGGTTTGTCACTGCAGAAAATTATGATCACTGCAAGCCTCTTTGAGAAGCAACATTTCAGTGCCACTGCTTTACACTCCCAAGAAATCTAACCCTTTCCGCATCTCCAACTTCCTCTTGCAGGGTCTTCCCGGTCCCGCTGGTGCCCCTGGTGAATCTGGAAAGCCTGGTGAACAGGTGAGTTATGGGTAGGATTGGCAGCTCTGGCTTGGAGAATTCCTGGAGATTTGGGGGGTGGTGGCAAAGATTGGGGAGGGGAGGAACCTCAGCAGGATGTGATGCTTTAGAATCCACCCTCTGAAGCTGGCATTTCCTCCAGGGAAAATGATGTTTGTAGTCTGGAGATCAGTTGTAATTCTGGGAGAACTCCAGGCCTTACTTGGAGGCTGGTAGCCCTAGTGATGGGCTCTTCATAAGGGTGTGTGAAGCAGAAATGATAGTGCCTTCATACAGCTTTGGCTGTGGTATGGGCATGATGCTCCTTTGACGTGCCTTCCTCCCTACATATATAGGTCTTACATAGGTCTACTTAAGTAGTTTAGTTATATGTGGATTTCCTCCTCAAACAGAGGGATACACTGTGAAGGCTGGGAGGAAGGGGCCATGGTCAAGACCAATGTTCCCTCTAAGCTGTGGAGTCTTGTGAGCAAAAATTCTGCTTTCTGAGCTACTGGCTTTAAAGCTGTGAGTGAGCGATTTGGCTACTGTATAAATTAGTTTGCTCTGGAGCCATCCTTCCTGAGTTAAGACAAAAATGTGTGAGCCAGAGGCTTAAAAACTGTGAGCTAGCTCACACTAACTCAGCTTAGAGGGAACACTGGTCAAGACCCCTTTGCCTCATACCCTCCATACAACATGACAGAAAAGCTCTTCCTCCTCTTTAATAGTTGTGCCGAAGAAAAGATCATTTGAACTAAGGCTGCCGGATCAGAATTCCAGACCAGCAAATTTCAGTGGATATTTAATGTTCCTTCCACTCCCACCCAGGCTGGCCTTCAGATATCCTGAAATGAATGAGAGGCCTTTAATCAGAGGGTATAATCCTAAAGAGATTTCCTGGGAGTTTCATGGGACTTCTGAATAGGCCTTCTTAGAATTGCTCCCTAAGCGCCTCAGGCAAACCATTGTGGAGGTCTTGTGAGGCCTAGTAAGCCCTGCAATGAGGCAAAAGGGTTGGGCAGGACCTGATGACCCACAGAGCCTTTCTGTCCCCCCAACTTTATGATACTTCAACCTAGTCTGAAGTTGTCATTTAAGGAAGCCATTTGGGGGTTATGTCCATTCATGTCTCCAGCGTTTAGCTGGAAGCCATTAAGGATATCTGTGTGATATGGACGGCGAATTCCGTGCTACTAGAAGGAAAAGAATAGTCACATATTTCCAAATCTGGACCCCATCAGCCCTCCTTTGTACCTCCCCTGCTGGACAAATTTAGCCTCCAGACTTTTGCTTCTGTCCTTCTAGAGGATCCTAGAATTTCAAATGGGAGCAAATGCCATAGAGCCTAACCCTGAGCCATGAGGCAGAAGAAACCACCTATTGTCTTACAGAAGGACCATTTAGCAGCCTCAGCCAGATCAGCTATGATGCCTACATGATTTGCAAAGATATTTTGTCAAAAGTAAATGTAAACCTCTCCTTTGTCCTCCTGGCAGGGTCCCCCTGGTGACGTCGGTGCTCCCGGACCATCCGGCGCAAGAGTAAGTGATCTTCTGCACAGTCACTGATCATCTGCGCATCTTCTCATTTATTCGCTGCTGCATCCGATGGTATAATTGTAACTGGCTGTATTGACTCCTTTTGCCACCTGCAGGGCGAGAGAGGTTTCCCTGGTGAACGTGGTGTCCAAGGTCCCGCAGGCCCTCAGGGCCCTCGTGGTGGTAACGGTGCTCCTGGTAACGATGGTGCTAAGGTAAGGGTCTCATGAGGATTGTTTCAGCAAAAGCGAAAAACAGGTGGTTTTGAGAAATCTGGAAAGCCAATATAACTCTAATGTGGGCCCAACCTGTTATCTTTGAATGTACCTGGAGAATTTCCTTTGTTAAGAATATGTTGCAATGGGGGATGGATAGTAAGCTTCCTTATAGCACCTGTGACTGGTAGGAGCTTTCCAGTGCAAGTCCTTCCCACTCTTATTACCTGAGACTCTTTACTTGGAGTTTGACGGGCACTGAACCTGGAACTTCCAGCATACAAAGCTGGACATGCAAGGTTCAACTCTGGCCACAACTGAAAGGGGGCCTGGAGAAATACTTTCAATTTTCCATAGCCAGGATCAGTTTTTTTAGACACTTGGACAATCAAGTGGAAGATTTTAATCACGTTCATTCAAATCCATAAACCCCTGAATTGGAGCAGTGAGAAGAAAGCTCTGCCTGTCCCTTGTCAGGTTCTCCAGAAGAAATTCACTTTGGCAAAGATCCCTGGTCTTGTTTCACCAACGTTCCAAAGAAAAGACTGTGACAGGTTCCAGATCTATATTTCTAGATTTGATCCAAATGCACAGCAACGGTGGTGGTGATAATTTGGGCAGAATCTCTCACTTTCCTGAGAGTGCTGGTTTCCCCCCTCCTCAGTCCCTAGTAGGGTTGCCAGGTCTGACTCAGGAAATATCTGAGGACTTTGGGGGGTGGAGCCAGGAGACTTTGGGGGTGGAGCCAGGAGCAAGGATGTGACTTCACTTGTGTGATGTCTCTAGGCAATTGAACTCCAAAGGGAGTTCTGGCCTTCACATTTAAATGGACAGCATTCCTTTTAAATACTTTCCCTCCATTGGAAATAATGGAGAATGGGGGCACCTTCTTTTGGGGCTTATAGAGTTGGACACTCCACCAGCTATGCTGAAATTGTGGTACCTCTACCTCAAAAAACAGCCCCCCCCCCGAGCCCCAGATACCTACAGATCAATTATGGAGACCGGTCTCCATAAAGTATAATGGAGCAGCCACCACCACCACCCGCTTTCTAAAAGCTCTGAAGCCAGGGGAGGGGCTCCAAACCAAGGGATCCCCTACCCCCAAATGGGAATTGGCAACCCTAATCCCTATCAAATCTGCAGGTTTTTTTTTTTAAAGGATGGGAATGCCTCATTGCATGAATTCACCCAAACCAAGGGATCCCCTACCCCCAAATAGGAATGGGCAACCCTAATCCCTAGCAAATCTGCAGGGTTTTTTGTTTTTTTTTTAAAAAAGGATGGGAATGCCTCATCGCATGAATTCGCAACATAAAATGTTTTTTATGCACCGCATGCAAATGGAAAAACTACAATATATTGGCCTGTCCCTCCTTGAAGTACTTCCCCAAAAAGGCTGTTTCTGGCTGAAGGACCAGTTTAACCAAACCACTTGGAAGCAAAGGGGAAAGTCCAGGCATGGGTTGGTCTTAGCCAATGGACAAAAGAGACAGCTGCTCTGGGCTCCATAATGGAGGGGCCCCAACCACCCACCCACAGCCCTCCGAAGGGGTTGGTCATAAATGCTAAATGCTGTTAGACAAAAGATGTGTGTGTGTGTTTATGTGCATGTATACATCAATCCAGAAAGGATTAGGTGGTTCTTCTTTTGGATCTAGCTCTGTTTCTGATTTTTTTTTAACTTCCATTGTGTTGACTCTAGGGTGATGCCGGTGCTCCTGGTGCTCCTGGAAGCCAAGGTGCCCCTGGTCTCCAGGGTATGCCCGGTGAACGTGGTGCTGCTGGACTTCCTGGTGCCAAGGGAGACAGAGTAAGTATCTAGACTGTTGAAACCATTAAAATTATTGCATGGCATTGTGTGTGGAATAGCCAGGAGATCCCAAAGGATTGATTGGCTGCCAGAAGCTGTAGCTCTTTTTTTGGCACCACTAGGTGGTGAGCTATGCTTATTTTTACACTGAGAGTGCTGTGACTTGCCCAAGGTCACCCAGCTGGCTTCAAGTAGGGAAGTGAAGAATCAAACCCAGTTCTCCAGATTAGAGTCCACGGCTATTAACCATTACACCAAGCTGGCTCCTGTTGCAACCATATCACCAAAACAACAGGAAGATGTGCTGAGCCCAGAAGAGCAGACTGGGTAATGGCTATGGTGGTAGATCCACAGCAATGACGTAAAGGCATTCCATTCATGTGTAATTGTCCAGCATAATTTTGCTGATGAAACAGGAAGGGAAGGGGCATAAGCTTCCAGGAATTATGGATCCTCTAAGCAGTGACAGGGTCAGACGATCATTTTTATAGCCACTAAGAGTTGGGGGGGGGGGCAAGCACTCTCAGTAGCTCTTCCTTTTCTCATCCAAAGTTCCTTTCCGTTTCTTCAGCTAGTTCTGTATTCTTCTTCTTCTTTATCTCCTTGTCCGTTCTATTACCCATTTTTTATCCTGACTTTCCATGGAGATTAGAGTGGCAAACGGGGTTCTCTCCTCCTGCTCTGTATCCTCACACAACAATCCTATGATGTAGGTTACACTGAGAGAACAAGCAATGCTCAAATCACAAGGCCACACTGGCTGTCTAGCTACTTCTCCATCCATCCACGGCTCTCCATCAACCCATCCTCCATATTTTCCCATTTTGAAACACAGAGCTTTGACATGGAAAGCTACCACATGAAGCTCAGACTATTGTACTGAAAGCCTGGAATTGCAGGCCGAACGTCTTTCCTGGAAAAGCATATGCCTTGCCACCAAGCTATGGCCCCTCTGCTAGCATTCATCACACAAGAGTAAGAAAGGATCTGTAGTTGGTCTTCTGTAGGCATATAAATGTTTTTCATTATGATTCCTGGTAGGTAGACGATCCTCCCCTTCTGTACAGGCACAACAATATGCTATTTGCCTCCAGGGCTTGGATACCTGTCTTTCCTCTCCAGCAGCTGAAGGAAATTCCCTCACACCTATCTTCATTTGGCATCCTAATACAAATTCTGTAAGGCAAACCAAATTTCTCTGAGAATTTCCTACTTCAGACATGGTGTGCCCTCCCTACAGAGCTCTTCTTCCTCAGTGCTTCCCCTAACCTGTTCTATTCAGTGTTTCATAGTCTTCTCCATCTTCGTCCCTAGGGTGATTCAGGTCCCAAAGGTACTGATGGTGCTCCCGGCAAAGATGGAGTTAGAGGACTGACTGGACCTATTGGCCCACCTGGACCTGCTGGTTCTCCTGGCGATAAGGCAAGTGCTTTACTTCACAAGCTTTTTTCCTGAAAACCTCAATTTATCTCCAGGTGTCAGGTGTCCACGAAGGTGTTTCAATGACCTATATGTGTTTCCTCGTATCTATATAAATAGCTTTTCCTGCTTGGCCTTGCCTGTTTGTGTGTAGACCTCCAAGTGTGATCTAGACCTCCATGAAGAGGCAAAAACACAGGGCAATGTAAACCCATTCTAGAACCTTCTCTGCTTTGTATATCCTGATTTTCCACCATACTTCCATGAATAGTGGATGTATATTGTTGGAAATATGGAGGACATGAGAAGTATAACTGGTGATAAAGGACTTCTTCTGGCCTCCAGAAGGGCATAGGTGAGGGTGGTGGACCAACATGTGATCATCTACAGGGCAGATTGTCTCACAGACCACCAGTTTCAGACTACTGAATCTCCAGCCCAACCTTGTATGTACCATTTGAGTGGGGTGCTCTCAGGTCCTTTACCAAAGGTTACAGACAGACAGAACCGAATGACAGAGTTCTAGAGGTCACCGATGCATATGGATTATACTGCATCAGACGCAGCCAGGATTCCACTTTCCCTTTCCAAACATGAATTTCTCATTCCACCTGCTTTATGCACGATCCTTAGATTCAAGTCAGGGTGTTTTGCCCTTCCAACTTCAACTAGTGTAAAGAAGAGGAAACATTAGGTTTTCACTCAATGGATCTCACACTCAATAGGAAGGCAGACAGACCATTTTATAAAATTATTAGTCACAAATATTTGGAGCAATACAGTGCATGTCAATAGGAAAAGGAGCATTCACAATCACTACCAAATTCCGCCCAAACTCTGCCCTTAATCATTATTAGAGAAGGTCTTTAAAAAAAAAATCTACTTTACATATTATGTGATCAACTTATGAGAAGCTGCCTATCTGGATGAATCCTGTAATTTGGTGCCTTTTCCTGCTTGCATTACACTTGGTGATTCCCTCCTGGCTCTCTGGAGCTTAACCTTGACTTTGTTTTAATTCTTGCCCAGGGTGAAGCTGGCCCCTCTGGCCCTGCTGGCCCCACTGGTGCTCGTGGCGCTCCCGTAAGTACTTTCCCCCACCTCCTCTCCTTTCCTTGGACCTCTCTCCCATTGTTGGCCATGTTCACCATGTGGGTCTCCTTCTCTTCCCCAGGGAGATCGTGGTGAACCAGGCCCTGCTGGACCCGCTGGATTCGCTGGCCCCCCTGTAAGTATGATGGCAAATCTCAGTTCTCAGTGAGCTGCATTCTATGTATGGGAAAGGGCAGAGTGAGCAATTCTTCAGTTTTGCGGATATGAAATTGAACAGCTAGGATTGGCCCCTAGGTACATGAAATGGACTACATTCTTGCCAACAGGAAAAATTAAAAGGCAGTGGGTTCTGTGATAGTTTAGTTAGCAGCAGTGGTAGTCCAAACCAAATGCCCCTTCTTGGATGCTTCCATTTCCTCCTTCCCCATCCCAACTACAGCAACTGTGTAAGCAAAGACTCAGGACACTCTTGATGGGCCAAAGGCAACCCAAGTACTTTTTTTCAATTGTTTGCCATATGGATGCTTGAACCAACAGGCAGCCAGTTATCACCTTGGTAGATTCAAGGCTTGGGATATTTCCGTGACTGGATCAATGGCAGCCTAGACTTGAGGCACTTCAGAGGACAAGACACCAAAGTGTACTGGAAAAGTTAACTTGGGTCACTGCTAGTCATGATTTCTTTGATAGTTCTGAGTGTTTTACATGTCTCATCTTGATTGTCCTCCCCACATCGCTGTGTTGTTGGTCAAGATGAGAGATGATGAGTCCACCCAATGAACTCATAGCTGAGGACTGGGAATTTGAATTTGAGTCTTCCATATCCAAGGCACCAAGCCATTGCCTGCTGAAGCACAAAGGAGTGACCCCACTATGTGAGCTCAATCAGTGCTGCATATCTAATATTTGAACGTTACCTCATCATAATCAAGCCTTCTCTTCCCAAAGTATGCCATTCCCCCTCCAGCTTGAGCAAACAAACTTAATATTCCATCACTTCATATCTGATATCAACAGAGCTACAGAGAAAGAATCATTAGGAATCACAGGATCTAGCCTTCTTTGGTTCAGTAAGATAGCTTAGGCCAATATACCTGGTAGATGTGGAGAAAGACACCATATCACTAAGGTCTATCTATCTTTCCTTTGCCATCCATCTGTTCCTCACCATCTGTTCTTACTCACCTCTGCAGGGTACTGATGGACAACCTGGTGCTAAAGGTGAACCTGGTGATGCTGGTGCTAAGGGTGATGCTGGTTCCCCTGGTCCATCTGGAGCCACCGGACCTCCCGGACCTGCTGTAAGTGGCCCATCACAATTTTCTAACCTCTTCTGTGAATCCTCGTATCAGTCTTTAGCTAATGCTGTCTTCTTTTCACCTCTTGCAGGGTGCTGTTGGTGCTCCTGGAGCCAAAGGTGCTCGTGGAAATGCTGGACCTCCTGTGAGTGCTTTTTTTTTAAATGCTTCATTCAAAATATCGTTCATCTTACCCATTTATCTTAGTTAAAATTTACTGTGGCTAGGATGGAAGATACTGAAACTCTCAGCACCAGCCACACTGGCAGTGGTGGAAAGTGCTGTCAAGTCACAGCTGACTTATGGCGATTCTGTAGGGTTTTCAAGGCAAGAGACATCCAGAGGTGTTTTGCCATTGACTGCCTCTGCATCCCGACCCTGGTATTCCTTGGAGGTCTCCCATCCAAGTACTAGCCACCGCCAACCCTGCTTAGCTTCTAAGATCTGATGAGATTGGGCTAGGCTTGGTCATCCAAGTTGTTGGTGGTGGAAAATGCCACCAAGTCACAGCAGAATTATGGCGACCCCATCGGGTTTTCAAGGCAAGAGACATCCAGAGGTGTTTTGCCATTGACTGCCACTGCATCACGACCCTGGTATTCCTTGGAGGTCTCCCATCCAAATATTAGCCAGGGCTGACCCTGCTTAGCTTCCAAGATCTGGTAAGAGTGGGCTAGGCTGGGTCACCCAGGTCAAGGCACCAACCACACTAGCTGCTGTATAAATCACATAAGTGATGCAGCACCTACTAAAAAAGATTACGGTCTATGTTAGATGAATAAGACAGAGCTCTTTCCAACTGTTCCAAAATGTTTAATCCATGTCCTCAGGGAACGGGCTACTTCATGGTTCAGAAACCATCTCAGTTAGTTGCTATATTTCGATATCGTTTTTCCCCATTGCCCAAAGTGGTTTATAGTAGAAACAAAACAAATTCTATTACCCTTCTCTCCCCACACACATTCCCAATATTAGTTCTTGTTAACTGAGTGAATGTCCTTCTCCAGAACAAGAGGTCTGTAATATTCTGACAGCCAAGCAGGAAGGAGCCAAGTACTGCTTCTGAATGCTCATAGGCATTAATCTCATCAGATAGGAGCAAAAATTCCTACTTGGAAATCCCATCGACTTGATTTCAAATAAGTTGCATCACATAACTCAAGCTGGGCAATATAACATAGGTGACACTCCCCAGCTGTCAAGACTGGGTGAGATTTTACTTTGTATACCTGCATAGCCCTACAGAACATTAGCAGCACTATGTTCTGGCAAGGGGCTAGAAGGACTGGGAGATCGCCTTTCTGTAGGAGAAGTCATGGCATGGCAAAGAGATCCCTTGGTTTATGAGCCCCAGCTCAAATGAATACCAAATCAATTCAGAATTGCTGCAACATTCCACATGGTAGGACATCGGCATCAAATAGAAATGAAAGTGCTTTTTACGGGGTGGGGGGATTGTTAAAATTGAACCTTCTCCCCCAATTTCTTTTACAGGGTGCTACTGGATTCCCCGGAGCTGCTGGAAGAGTAGGACCCCCTGGCCCATCTGTAAGTACCCCTCTCCCACAGAGACATTTATTTTATTCTTGGCAGTAATTTGAAAAGCTAATGCAGGGCTCCCTGGTAGCTGGAATGCTGATGCTCACTGAAAGGTTCCTAAGATCCCACAGTATCCCAGCAAAGAGACCAGCAATGGTGACTGTCAGGAGGAAGACATGCAGATGTGAGAATAATGGTGAAGCAACTAACATCTGGATTTTCAGCGTTTCTTATCCTGCACTAAAAACATCAAGCAGTATTCTGAACTCAGAGACTTTGGAGTGATTTTTTAAAAAAGTTTTTAAATCAAAGCTTTCTAAATGTGATATCCAGATTTCCAAATTTTAGCAAGAATCTTGAGATCTGGTAGCAAATCCGGTAGCTTTGTAGGGAATGGCATGCAATTTAACATCTCAGTGGGGAGCTTCAATTGTTGCCATCAAAACGAGTCTGTCAATATAAGTTAATTAATATTGAAATTAAAATGTTGCAGAATCTAGCTACTCCCTTATTTCTAATGTGGGACAGTAGATGCTTCATCAGTTTAGTTTTAGCATTGTTAAAGGAAGGGGGATCCCCTTCGAAATTCAATTGATTCCTCTTATTCTTTCTCTGGTCCATTCTTCCTTGAAAAGAAATCAATGTAGCCTTTGTAACTTCAGCCCATGTAGGTGTTTTAATGTTACACACCACTCTAGCAGGAAGATAAAAAAGGTTTGTGAAGACCTGCCTCTGATCATCTGCAGAGTGAAATTCTGAAATTTCGTAGAACCTCCCTTTCTGTCCATCTTCTCTTCAAATTTCCCTTTGATTAAAATGGAGCCGATTTGAAACAGACTTCAAATTCCTAAAAAGAAGCAAAGAAAGAAATTGTAGGATCTCCAGGGGGAATCTCTCTTAACACTGCTATTTAGTAGGAATTCAACTTCAGTAGAATTCGAGAGATTGGAAGAATGGAAAGGAAGGTCTCTGAGCATAAGTACTCTAAAGACTCAAACTGAATAATGGTCAAGTTCTCTTCCCAAAGAACTCTGGGAATTGTAGTTTGGAGAGTGCTAGGGACCTCTAAGAGAAAACTCTCAACTCATTCACCAAACCTCATTTCCCAGAAGGTGCTGAGGAACACCATGACAGTTAAAATAAGCTGGCCACTGTTCTCCATCTACTGATTAAAATATTGCAATTCTGTTGATTACATTATTGCAACTGTAAAATACATGAAGATGCTCCACTGTTCTCCATCTACTGATTAAAATATCGCAATTCTGTTTACATTATTGCAACTGTAAAATACGTGAAGATGCACCTGAAGACCCCCTGGAAGCTGTAGTCGGTTCAAAAAGTAGCAACTCGCCAGTTGATTGGGATTCAGTGCTGGGAATACACAACTAAAAGCTACCAGCCAGCATCACCTTTAGGAAGAATACTTCTAGTTTCCACTTGTACACTGAGCATAGTCTCAACCCATCCAGGTGACCTTACCCAAAGAACCTCCATTGAGACAGGGTTCTGTGCTTCTTCTCTATAATTGTGTGAGAGTCACTGACTTGGTTTTTTTCCCTGTTCCTTTTCCAAAAGGGTAACATTGGTCTTCCCGGCCCACCAGGCCCTAGTGGAAAGGAAGGCTCCAAAGGACCCCGTGGTGAGACTGGACCTGCTGGCCGCCCTGGTGAGGCTGGACCTGCTGGCCCACCTGGACCTTCCGGTGAGAAGGGATCTCCTGGTGCTGATGGACCAGCTGTAAGTAAATGCCACAATCTACGGTTTACCTCTTTTTTAGAAGGGTAGCTTGACCCACGCAGGAGATAGCCTCACTAAGGAGTCTTCCTTTGACAACCAGAAATGATTCTTAACACAGAATGGAAGAAATCCCAATTCCATCCCAACCAAAAGACAATAAGATCAGTGCTCCTTTAGGGTAAACTTGGTAGGAAGATCCAGAAAGATGAGGACTGAATATCAGTGTAGGAAGATTCAGGACATCCAACTGTCATTCTCTTTGATGCAAACCTTTCAAAACTTCTAGTTTCCTGGACTGTTCCTGGACCATAAAAATGCCAACCAATGGTTTCTGCTAAGGAATAATTCTTCCCCTTCCTTTCCCATAGTGTAGCCTATTGCTTGGAGAATAGGAGCTGTCCATCCTATCAGAAGACTTTCATGTTGACCTCCCACTTAATTCTCTTTCCTTTCCCTCTTTTAGGGTGCACCTGGTACCCCTGGCCCACAAGGTATTGCTGGAAACCGTGGTATGGTGGGTCTTCCCGGACAAAGAGGCGAGAGAGGTTTCTCCGGTCTTCCTGGACCCTCTGTGAGTATTTCAGCACTTCTAAATCCTCTATGAAGATAAATCTGCATCCAGTTTCATCCTGATCCTTGTGGGTTGGAATTTTGACCCTCAGAAACATAGAGAAAGGTTTTCTTGTGCCAGGATCTGTAAGGGAATCTGGATTTATTCATATTTGGGGGCCTGCAAGCCCAAGGGACAAAAGAGGTTTTCAGAGTCTGTTAGGTGAATTATTTAACGTCAGATATCTCATATGAATTTTGTAGTTTGGCCAAAGGAGCAGGGGAAATACAGCAAAGAAGAGTTTTTGTGGGATTCTTGCATATGAGACATGTTTCTCTACCACATTAATTTCAAATATATTTTCATGGAAATATCTCTTGAAATAAGTGGAACATTTCTGAGTAATGGTGTTTAGAATTGTACCCCATGACTCAACAAGATACCTTTTCACCCCTCAGTGACAGCATAACCCACACACCATTTTTGCTCCTTACTGGTTTTAGGCTTTGTGGATAAAAAGAAGGGTAGCAATGGAGAAATTAAGTAGCAGTATTCTATTCATCTTGCACAAGATAAAGCACTATTTTTCACTTGCTAATGCATACCTGCCTATTTCCTTATACCTGTTATTTCCCTAACAAAACACTGAGGACTGAAGAACAGTTCCTGGAATTCAATCCACTGTCTTTCTTTCCCCTCCAACATTTGAGGAACTCTGAAAAGAGATTCAATCAAGACTAGACTGATGTAACATCCAACTGCAACTGAAAATAGTATTTGCCATTCCTAAGGAAGGATGTTTCATATGAAACACAGGCCTAGAAACAGAACCTCCCACAAGATATGGTAGCATTCATGTGCTCACATTTTAATCTGAACATCTTGCTTGTCATTCAAAGCAAAATTGACAGAGATTTTGGGTTTTAAGGGCTGAACTTGGTATGCAATCCCAGCAGCACCTCAGAATATCATAGCCCACAGAATCCTGAAATTCTGACTTAAAGAACCATCCACAGCTTCATAATACAGTCAATTCTATAGCTATGCAAACTAGACCTGAAAAGAATTCATGTAGAGGGAGGGAAATCATCAAGCAATTTTTCCTAGATCAAATTTACTTGCAAATGTAGAATATATGTTGGCCTAATTAGGAGCCATTTTACATTTTTCCCCATTATGGATATGGCTGTATTCACAGTATGGGAAGGGAATAAAAACAGAACTTAGAGTGTTGAATTTGTCAGGTGAAAAACATAACATGATTGCCATGACCTGGATAATCAGATCTTGGCAGTTAAGCAAGGCCAACCCTGGCCAGTACTTGGATTGGAGACGTCCAAGGAATACCAGGGCCGGGACACAGAGGGAGGCAATAGCAAGCCACCTCTCTGAAATGTCCAAGCCCCCTAGGGGTCACTAGAAGTCATCCAGGCACACACACACACACACAAACCCCCACGTTTTAAGGATGTATCAAGAAGACAAGTTCTAGTTTTTTGAAAGTGAACTCTAAGAATTATTTTTTAAAAAAAAAATCAATTTTTGAAATTTTACCAAAATACAAACTATACCATTTTTAAGGCATAGAGCAAATTCTGTTAATAGTTGATATCATGATGCAACCAAGCTTTTATAAACCTGAACAGAGAAGTTCAGTAAGCTTCGCAAACCATGCAAGACACCCTACAGAAATTATATAAATCCTTATATACTTCCAAAATGTTGTAGCACTCCATAGCAATCTACAGATATACAGAAATTATTCTCCCTCTGTCCTCAGCTTGATCCCACACCCAAAACTTTGAACTGGTTACTTTCCAGAAGATTAGAACATTCTGTATGTGCTGTCTGAATAAAGCTCCTTCTTTCTCTGTGCTGAACTTTAGTTAACTGTGGTAGTATGGGACCTCTTCTCTTCACCAACATTTTTGCTGGTGAAAAACAGTGGGGAGGGGGGTTGCTTTGACCAACAAAAAGGTTATACCGGGCATCATGGGACTTGTATGGACAATGTGGATGGAGGCTGTAGTAAGGAGGAGAACTGTATGAGACTGAACAAAAAAGCTGTCTGGATTCAACCCTGTTTCATTTTAATTCCTCATTCTTAAACACTGGGTTCTTTCAATTCTGTGTACGATCTCCTCAGGGCGAACCTGGCAAACAAGGCCCATCTGGAGCTTCTGGTGAACGCGGTCCTCCTGGCCCAGCAGGACCACCTGGATTGGCCGGACCCCCTGGTGAATCTGGACGTGAGGTACATCTTCATTTTTATCCTTCCGCACCTGCTGTCATGCTCCTTCTTCTTTGGGGAGCTTCATTACCATCAGAAACTATTACCATTTACCACAAATAATATCCAAGCAGAAGAACTATGCAATTTTAGGCTCAGTGGCAGAGTACAGGCTAGACATGCAGAAAGTCTAACACTCAGTCCCTGATATCTCCAGTTAAGAGACAGGCGGCAGGACTGGGAAAGAATGTTAGACCAGATAGGTCATTGGTATGAGAATAAGGAAGCTTCATAAGGGACCGTAGCTCAATGACAGATCATATGCTTTACACAGAGGAGATCCCAGGTTCAATCTCCATATTAAAAAACTTTTCACAGGGAGCAGAAAGCAGGGGTTTCTCCACTAAAAGGGGTGGGGAGCAGAAAGCAGGGGTTTAAATGGCTCAGAACCACCACAAGCTCTGGAGAGCTGTTGAAAGCCAGTGTTGACAATACTGAGCTAGGTGGACCAATATTCTGAATCAATACAAGGCAACTTCACAAGTTCATAAATGCAATACCTTTCAGTTGCAGAATCTGGGAATTCTTTTTGCCCAGTGAAGCATTCTAAATCTCTCATTAGTTATTTGTGTTCTGCTCCTCCATGATCTCTCCCTCTCTGCTTGCCCTATAGGGTTCTCCTGGTGCAGAAGGTGCTCCTGGACGTGATGGTGCTGCTGGTCCCAAGGTAAGTTATGAAGCAGGTGTCAAGAACTGGTTGGGACCACAAGAAGACAGCATTACAATAAACGTTCCGCTTCGAGGCCCACCTCTCAGTGACTCTGAGCTTTGACTCTCTTCCTTGTTTTCCTTTCTTAAATAGGGTGATCGTGGTGAATCTGGCCCTGCTGGTCCCCCTGGTGCTCCTGGTGCCCCTGGGGCTCCTGGCCCTGTTGGCCCTGCTGGCAAAAATGGCGACCGTGGTGAGAGTGTAAGTGATTATTCCTTTCATCCCCCCTAAAATATTAAATTCATGGCCAAAGAGGAGGCCTTTGCAGAACTAGGGAAAGGATCTAGAAATCCACTATTCTCCCGTACTTCTGTCTCTGCTCTACCACAAATATACCACAGACAAGAGCGCATTCTCTTGCTCCAAATCAATGAACATGGAATATCTACCACTCACACGTTTCCCTTTTTTCCATTCCCTGAAAAAGCAAACACACAGGCGTATAGATCCCCCCCTCTAACTGCCACCATACACAGCTTCTGCACTTCACAATGGCCAAAGGTATCATCATGTAGGATTAAATGGACTGGTAGGCCACTCCTGTTTGAGTGCACATTCCCTGAAGGCATGCTGGCAAGATCACACCTACTTCACACTATTTAATTTGGAATGACATCCATCCATGGTTTCATATGATTAAAACCATAATTTGATGAGCTATATGCATATACTGAAGGAACATGGGGGCAGGAAGACCTTGTTTTATTGTTTGGAGTAGTGGTTAAATGCGCGGACTCTAATCTGGGAGAACCGGGTTTGATTCCCCACTCCTCCACTAGCAGCTGCTGGATGACCTTGGGCAAGCCATAGTTCTGTCAGAGCTGTCCTTAAAAAGAGCAGTTCCCTCAGAGCTCTCTCAGCCACATCTACCTCACAGGGTGTCTGTTGTGGGAAGGAGAAGGGAAAGGAGTTTGTAAGCCGCTCTGAGACTCCAAAGTGAAGGGTGGGGTATAAATCCAATCTCTTCTTCTCCTCTTCTTCTTCTTCTTCGCCAGCCTTAATACGCTTGCATCAGAATTAAGAGGAGGTCACTCATTTGTGATTTTAAATATGTTTACGTTCTACTCCCCAAAGCCAGGGGAGTAACCCAGGGACCATATGTCTTACTTGAAGCCCACTAAATACTCCCAATCTCACTACTCCCAATCCCACTATCAAGATCATAATTCCAACTAGCAGTCCCACCAGTATGCTTTAACCATTAAATCCACACTCTCTTCTGGAAGAGTTTTATTTTATAATCTTCTTGATGTAACCAGTAGATATTAGTTGAGGTTCACAGTCATCTGGCCAAAAAGGAACCACTATGACAACTGTTTTGCTCTTCCTAGAAAAAAAGAATATGGTTGGGAACTTGGCCTCTAATCACTGTGGATTAATCCATCCCATATGACAAAAGGGTGGTGATGTATAGCTATCTGTAGACTTCATGCAGCGGGACTTTATGGTTTCCCTCCTCTGCTGCAGCCCAGTGACCTCTCATCCCAATTTTATTTATGTGACTCAGCAGAGAAGCAGGGTCTGCAATGAGAGATGGAACTCAGCAGCAATCACTACCCCCTCTTTCAAAGACTTGTGCCGTTAAGGCTGCAATCTCAAGAACCTTTTCTTGGGAGAAAGGCCTATTGAATAAAATGGATCTGAGTATACCTGCTTAGGCTTGCCCTGTAGGTCCGCAGAACTGAATAGCTGGATACATGTGTCTTAACTGTAGGCCTCTCCTCGAAGGTCCTTGTGTGTGAGGAAACAGATTTGCTCAAGTGCCCACGAGGGGCTAGAAGAGGCAAACTTACTGCTTGGCAGAAGGGAAGGAGCAGAGGGGTGTCAGTGTGGAAAAAGAAGTGCAGATTTAGATGCTCAAATGGATAGAGAGAGAAGCAGACAGACACTGCTGGAGTTGGCTGATGCACCTAGAAGGTGCAAGAACTCTCTCTCTCTCTCTCTCTCTCTCTCTCTCTCTCTCTCTCTCTCTCTCTCTCTCTCTCTGGAATCTCATGGAGGGTCATACCTGCTGCTCTGTAGAGGTCTCTACCTGTGTATTTGTAAATAAAACAAAACTACAAGAACTCCGTAAGTCTCCAGCGCTGTAAGACTCTCTTCCAAAGAAAATCAAATACATGTCAATACTACCCCTGGAACACCTTAATGCCTAAAGAAGTGATGTGTAATAATAATATTCAGGTTGCCTGTACACTCTGATCACACTTCCTTATAAAGAAAGTTCCTCCATACCTATAAAAAAAGATTAACTGTATCCTTCTCTTCCCCCTTTCCTTACCCCTTCAGGGTCCCGCTGGTCCTGCTGGTCCCGCCGGTCCTGCTGGAGCTCGTGGCCCTGCTGTAAGTTTGAAGTTAAAAAACTTGAGCTTTCTTTTTTTTAAAAAAAAATAATGAAATCAATGGCATTTTTGCAATGAGGCCATTTCAAGATGGCTGCCATTTTGTTTCAGCCAACTGAAATTCCTTGAGTATTCATTAACCAAGTATTTTAACATCCTGAGTTCAAGTCTACAGCTATGTAGACTGGCCTGACGGTATTTTGAAATATATATTTCATATCCCGTGAAGTGAATTTTTTCATCCTTTCTTTCCATTTCCAGGGAGCCCAAGGTGCTCGTGGTGACAAGGGTGAAACTGGTGAACATGGTGACAGAGGCATGAAGGGTCACAGAGGATTCTCTGGTCTTCAGGGTCCCCCTGGTCCTCCTGTAAGTATCTTGCCTTTCGGACCTAGAGTAGGCCTTTGGGTCGCAGAGCCCCAAAGCTTTACACAGCCATCTCTGTTAACACACAGTAGCCAGCAGGTGGCTGATTCATTCAGCCTTCTCTGTTTGTGATTCTCCTGGGCTGTGGCTCAGTGGAAGAGCCTCTGATTTGCATGCAGAAGGTCCCAGGTTCAATCCCTGGCATCTCCAGCTAAAAGGACCAGGTATGAGGTGATGTGAAAGACCTCAGCCTGAGACCCTGGAGAAGTCGCTGCCAGTCTGAGTAGACAGTACTGACTTTGATGGGCCAAGGGTCTGATACAGTATAATTCAGTGTGTTTCAATGATTGGTAGAAAAAGGAAGAAGTCTCAGAATGGTTTTCCTGTGCCAAGGGAATAAAGCCTGAATGATTACAAAAGATACCCGAACTCCTTGATTCCGAACACGGCCTCTACCAGTATGTTTCCTGGCACCTGTTTGTGTCTTGGGGATAAAATACGGAGGGTCTTGAATAGACCAGGAGGGAAGGGGGGGGGACTTCATGTCACTCCCTGCCAGATGACTGACTAGAAGTGTGGTGCACTCATCCTGGCCAGACATAGGACAGCAGTGTACCCTCAGCCTGGCCACAGACTTTCTTATTCCTCTCAGCCTGGAAACCCAGGAGACATATCTAGGAAGTACTCTCTCAGAAGCATCCACTTCTGTTGTGGGAGACTTACTGGTGTAGGGGGTATACTCTTTGGTAATAATGCAATGTCACTTCCCGTGCAACCTGGAAGTGATGTCAAGGTGTGAGGGTGACATTCTAGCATTCGCCCAACTACAGTTTCGGGGGAACGTTAGAACATCGCCCCTATGTGGTGACAGCACTTATGCCACCTGAAACATCTTTTTGGAGTCTTTTTTAAGAAACCTCCATGAGTGTGCAACTTGCATGGTTTAGGGTCGCCAGGTCTGTTAGAGATGCAGGCAGGGGGGTGGGGGATGTTCCGGGAGTCGGAAGCGTCGCCCCAACATGCCAACGTCACTGGAAGTGATGTTGCGTGCTGTGCCTACATCACCCAGAAGTGACGTAGGCACATCAGGGGTGATGCTCTGATTTTTGGGCAAAACTCTATGGTAAAATCACCCTCAAACCATAGAGTTCCGCCCAAAAAACAGTGTGTTGCCCCTGGTGTGCCCATGTCACTTCCGGGTGACATAGGCATGTCGCACAACATTGCTGGGGGAGGGGGATCGGTGGGCAGGAGCTCACAAAACGGAGCAATTCCCCATCCCCAGCTGGCAGCAGCCTCAGAAGAGTCCTAATGGCTAATGACTGCTCGGCCTAGAGGCCAGACTTTAATCTGCAATGGCAGTTAATTAGCTAATCACACCGATCCATTGATTGAAGCTCTTTAAATATTACAGCATATTCTTTCCAAGACTTCTCCATTCTCCCTCAGTTTTCATAATGGTGATCCCCAGGGCTTTTTTTGTAGAAAAAGCCCAGCAGGAACTCATTAGCATAATAGACCACACCCAACAGCAGAAACTCATTAGCATATCAGGCCACACCCCGACAGCACAGCTCATTGGCATATTAGGCCGCACCCCCATGTTACCAGAAGTGTGATCATCCAGCCACACCCACCTTTTGCTTCTTATTCTGTTTACACCTTGTTTGTTGTCAAGGGCTTTTTTTGTAGCAGGAACTCATTTGCATGTTAGGCCACACACCCCTAATGTAGCCAATCCTAATGCATTTCTGCTCTTGGGTGCGGCCTATTATGCTAATGAGTTCCTGCTGGGCGTGGCCAACTCAGGAGCCAGCCGGAACTCAGTTCCTGTGCGTTCCTGCCCAAAAATAACCCTGGATCCCATATGATAGGCCTCTAGTGAGCACAGGCAGCAACCTCCAGGTGACACCTGGGGATCTCCCACTAGTACAATTGATCTCCAGATAACCGACATCAGTTCCCCCCAGAGAAAATGCCTGCTTTAGAGGGTGGACTCTATGGCATTATAGCCTGTTGAAGTCCCTCCCTTCCCAAATCTTGCCCTTTCCAGGCTCTACCCCCCCCCCAAAAAAAATCTTCAGGTATTTTCCAACCCCGAGTTGGCAGTCCTAACATGGAGTGGCCTCAAGCCTCCATCACAGTATATTGTTGCGTGGATCTCCTGACCAGAGGATGAGGCAGACTTTGGCCCACCTCACTGTCAGAAAAGTAAAAACTAAAATCTACAGACGTTCAGTGCCATCATTTCTTTGGCCACCCGTCATAGTTCAGCACGCTCAGTTCCTTTCTCAGATGGGCCACACAGCATTGAAAATAACAATAATAACAGCAACAACATTTGGAGCAAGACATTAGAACTGGTTAGATCTCTAAAACCCTCCTCTCTCATTTCTTCTTGCTCCCAATGCAAATGTCTTACCAGAAGTTGTAAAACAAATGTTCCATCAGACGTTTTAAAAGCAATGATATGTTTGGTGTATATGAATAAGTTTTGTGCATTTATTTCCACTGTCTATCTGCCTTTCCTCTCCAAGGACAAGAAATCTACTAATCAAAAGGTTTTCATTCACCAAACAAACATTAGCCGATGCACATTTTCCATTATGCTAAACAAATCTATTGGTGCTCCCGTTTGGGGCTGCAAAGCCTCAACGCGTGCTAATGAGGTTCAGACACACAGTACCCCAACAAGAGGCTGTACACGCCGTATTTGGTTTATGGACCAGAATATCACTGAGTTTCACTGATTTGAATGGAATAGCTTTCTCATATATTAATCAAAAATTGATGTGTCAAGGTGAATATCTAATTGAATTGACTTTTCATTTCTTCTTCATTTAGGGTTCTCCTGGTGAACAAGGTCCTTCTGGCGCTTCTGGCCCCGCTGGTCCTAGAGTAAGTATGATTGTTTTGCCACCCCAGTGGAGACAATATAAGTTTGCCAGCTCCAAGTCCTAATTCTCCTAGAATTACAACTGATCTCCAAACTACAGAAATCAGTTACCCCGGAGAAAATAGCCGCGTTGTAGGGTGGACTCTATGGCATTATACTTTACTGAGGTGCCTCCCAAACCTCAAACTCCACCCAGGCTCCACCCCCAAATTTCCCAGTCTGCAGTTAGCAACACTAATAATAACTCAAATGTGAAAAAAGGACCCATGGCAGAAATATGAAATACTTAGCAAGGCATTAAGCAAAGACTGGATAGTTACAAGTGTGAAGACCCTGTCAATTGAAGCCGTAGAGTAGCCATCTGTAATTCAAACATAGCCTTTCACAGGGAGAGGCTGTGGTTCAGTTAATGAGCACTGTCTTTGCACGTAGAAAATCCCAAATTCAATCCATGGCACTTTGTTAACTGGATTAGGTAAGAGGTGATGTGAAAGAACTCTGCCTGAGGTCCTACCGAGCGGCTGACCTTGATAGACCAAGGATCTGACTCAGTGATAAGGCAGCCTCATTTGTTCATATCATCCATTTCAATAGGGAACAAATCAGTAGAACTGTAGACTCTTGAAGGGCAAGGTTTGATGGAAGATGGGTGGAGTTGAAGGCCAGAGGTGAATCCAAAGATGCATCCAATTGTAAACACATGTCTTCCCTCCAGGGCTGTACAAGCCTCCACATTCCTACTATAATTCTTGTTCAAGATAAGAGCAGTGAGGGTTTTAGATTATTTCATCAAATACTATGACTATGGGGTTTTCCCATCCAGGAAGATTTATTGGCCTCTGTGTCAAGGCAACAGATTCTATTACAACTAAGAAGCTACTTTTACAGTTTTGAGATCTGAGAAAGAGGGAATGTCAACACAATTTGGTACTTTTAACCACTAAACTGGAAGTTTGGGAAGCAGCAACAAAATAGAACAGGTACCATCTTGCATTGCATAAGATTCCCCCATGTCACTTGTGAGCATGCCTCAAGATTCAGCAGGGGGTTGGACTAGATGGCCTGTATGGTCTCTTTCAGCTCTGGGATTCTATGATTCTGTGACGTACAACTATGTCCCAGTCTTCAATACTAAGGAAGATAATAAATAAGGAAGAAAGATTGTTTTATTTTTCAGTGGACCAAAATATAGATTGGTGAAGCAGGGCTTGGAATCTTCCATCTCTCTGTGAACTCCCATCTGCTCATAGCCTTGACTTTTTTTTTGCACCATCTTATGCAGAAACCCATATAACAATGCATTTGTGTCCTCTCTTCTTAACAGGGTCCCTCTGGCTCTGCTGGTTCTCCTGGCAAAGATGGTATGAATGGTCTCCCTGGTCCCATTGGCCCACCTGGTCCCCGTGGTCGTACTGGTGACGCTGGCCCTGCTGTAAGCTTTCCATCTTATCGTGGGAGTCTCACAACTGTCATTTATTGTGTATAGGAGAATTTTGTTTTCAACTCTTCTTTCGCTTCTTCTTCTACCACAGGGTCCTCCTGGACCTCCTGGCCCACCTGGTCCCCCAGGCCCACCTAGTGGTGGCTTTGATTTCAGCTTCCTGCCCCAGCCTCCTCAGGAGAAAGCCCACGATGGTGGCCGTTACTACAGAGCTGATGATGCCAATGTGATGCGTGACCGTGACCTGGAAGTTGACACCACCCTCAAGAGCCTGACCCAGCAGATTGAGAACATCCGTAGCCCTGAGGGAACCCGGAAGAACCCAGCCCGTACTTGCCGTGACCTGAAGATGTGCCATGGAGACTGGAAGAGCGGTGAGTGCCAGAAAAGCCAATTCTGAAGTTTCGGAATGATGCTTCTTTTAATAATCCTCTCTACTTCTGGACCATTTTTGTCTTGCGTTGCCAGGATTTTTTCTCATGCATCAGTCTTCTCACTGTTCTTCTTTCACTTCTGACAGTTCTCTTCATCTTGAGCCTCATCTTGAGCCTGTTTTGGGGTTTTGTTGTTGTTGAAGTTGTAGTTATTGAGTAAGGGGCCAAAAAGGAATTTCCCATTTGACCCAACTGGCCAGTGATTCATATCTTCCCCTAGACTCTCCTTCCAACAATGGATTGCTTGAATCATGTGGAATTATTATAGGCATCTCTCAGCAATGTGGTCTTTATTTCGCAGATCCCAAGAAAACTGCAGAGAAGTGCCTGATCAGCTTGTTCAGGCTCTCCCACCCTCTCTGTCAAACAGAAATATCTTGAGATCAGAGTGCCACTTCTTGTGTTAATAATGTTTGTTAACAATACATTATTTTTGCTCGGGCATCCCCTAGTGCACTGATCTGCTTGGTCTTAAGATGACGGCCTGTTTGGCTTGCATTCAGTGAGCCTTCAAAGCCTTAGTTCCTTGACCTGGTGAAGCTCACTTTGTCAACACATGAGAACCACAGCATAGGTGGATCTGTAGGATAGGAGGGTGCACAGGACAAGCTTCCTTTTGTAGTGTGAGGTATCCAAATCCATTATTCATTATCCCATCATCCTCATTCGCTCATCCTTCCTCATCAGGAGAATACTGGATTGACCCCAACCAAGGCTGCAACCTGGATGCCATCAAGGTCTACTGTAACATGGAGACTGGAGAGACTTGTGTCTACCCAACTCAGAACACCATCGCCCAGAAGAACTGGTACCTCAGCAAGAACCCCAAGGAGAAGAAACATGTCTGGTTTGGCGAAGCAATGACCGATGGCTTCCAGGTGAGACTAAGAACCAGTGAGAGAGAGAAGGTTATACTACAAATTATTTGGATTGGGACTACCAAATTTGTACCATGAGCTAGAAATAGTGAGAGTTCCTTCATGGTTAGGTTTATTCAGGCCCCTCTCCTGAGCTAAGATTGGCAGGAGTCCCTTCAGGATTAAGTGTGGATGCCACAACCATAAAAAGCAAGCCGGTGGGTCTGTTTGCGTGGTCTGAATCTATTTTGCCTGGGGAAGAGAAGATTGAGAAGGAACATTATAATAGCGTTCATGAGATCTACTAAAACCCTCAAGGAAAGTAAGGAATCAATGTCTGCTGCCTTTCTTCAAAAGATATTTCAGCAAAGGTCTGATTGGCTTAGTTTAGGAGGATTTGATCCAAGGGACAGGAAGTGTATCTGGATAGTTTCTTAAAGTTATACCCTGCCTTATTATTCTCAAAGATCTCCATAACTATAGATTACAGTGAATGGGTGTGGGGTTTTTTTCCTATCGAACAAGGAGGCTAGGCTTGATGCTCCATGAAGTCACTCCCAACTCCATGATTTTTAGGAAGGGCTTTTTTTCTTTTCCAAAAGCAAAGATAGGCTAATATCCAGATGCTGTATTAATTGAGCTCATAGCTTAAGAGGGATTGGGTAGCTTGTCATGCTGTGGAGTTCCACCTGGTATATTTGGGGAAGCCAGTTTGTTAGGCAGTCCTTTTCAAGAGAGGAAGATCATGTGCCCACCTATCTATCTCTCTTTGCATCTCTTGCGTCCTTATGATAGTCTACTACTGGTTGGACTCTGGCTTCACAATGAGAATAGTCATCTCTTGGGCTGAGCCCAAGACCCAAGGTTCCCCCCACCCCCATTACTAGCAGGGCACCCTGAGAATGGAGAGGAAGATAAGGGTTAAGTAGTTTTCTGGTTATAGCAAAGGGATTTCTAAAAGAGGTTGTTTTTGAGAGGTGATGGCATGAGCGCTAACAAATTTCTTGCTGTGTCCTTTTCTCCGTTTCCTTTGGCAGTTCGAATATGGTGGTGAGGGATCCAATGAAGCTGATGTTGCCATCCAACTGACATTCTTGCGCTTGATGTCCACTGAAGCCTCCCAGAACATCACCTACCACTGCAAGAACAGCGTGGCTTACATGGACCAACAGACCGGCAACCTGAAGAAGGCTTTGCTCCTCCAAGGGTCCAACGAGATTGAAATCAGAGCAGAGGGCAACAGCCGCTTCACCTATGGAGTCACTCAGGACGGTTGCACGGTGAGCCTTTGGGCCTTGAGTGGAATAGCCAGCCTGCACCAAGTCCAGGGGGGACTAAAGGCTTTTAACAGTCCATACTTAGACGAGAATTTTAAAATGGATTACAGTGTTTTACTAGTGCAGGGCTTCCCCCTTTTCTCTCTGTACCTGTTGATAGCTGGGAAAGGAATCAACATAAAAGCGCATGTTGACAGACTGGGGACTGGTAAACCAGGGCTAGGCAGTTGTGGGTGAACAAGTAAGGGTTGCAGGCTCCAGCCTCCAATCCAGCTAATGAAATCTTGATGAGGAAACATGTCTCACAGCAGGTGTGCCAGATTGTTGTGTGCATGGAAGCTGGGATCCCTTTCGTGAACCAAAAGGGATTCCCATATGCCACAAACTACTTATCCATGAATGCAGTAGAATCCGTATAATCTTCCGTTGGCTTTCATTGTTTGGATCAGGGCCATTAATTATGTTATTTAATTTTCAAGCACATTCTGGACCCTAACCTAAGGAAGTTTTTAGAATTTTACCATGCAACAATAAGGCTTATCTAGGAAGACAGCCAGGGCTGGAGGCTCCTTAAGGGACAGGGTCATATGGACAAATTGTACTGTTCCCCAGTCCTTCCTCTAGCCCTGAGGGCCTGTGTTCTGTTTGCATATGGTATGGACCATGGCAGTGTTTCCAAATTCTTGCATTGGCTTTGCCTGTTTTCTTTTATGCTGCCCTTAATCTTCAGAATTCTTAATAGTGGAGTAATGTTGCTCCTCTGAAAACCTGCCAGAAACATGCAGAATGCCTCAATATCTTGCCAAAAGGAAGAGTCAATAGCAACCAAGATGGAGACGTGCCAAGAATATGGAACCACTAGTTAGGAACACAGCTGGCCAAAGGAGGAGAGTTTAGACGGGGACTAGACTAACACAGAAGCCTTAGAAGTATGTTAGGCCTCATACAAAATTTTAATTTGTTCTTGTTTTCCCTTCCTCTGCAGAGTCACACCGGCAGCTGGGGACAGACAGTCATTGAATACAAGACAACAAAAACTTCCCGGTTGCCCATCATTGATGTGGCTCCCATGGACGTTGGTGCCCCAGACCAGGAATTCGGCCTTGAGATTGGACCAGTCTGCTTCTTGTAAACCCCAAAGGAAACCTGACAGTTTAAAAAATAAAATAAAAAACAGCCAAAAAAGAAGGAAATTTCACATGGACTTGAATTTGTGTCTTTTTCTATCCATCATCTCTAAAACTATTTTCGTTTCCGTTAAAAAAAACAAAAAAGCATTAAACCAAAAAAATAAAAATAAATGACTTTTCAAAAATAATTAAGGAAGTGCATCCACTTGCTTGACTTTTTTTTTTAATTAAAATCCCCAAAGACAGAATGGTTTGATTTTATCTTTTTTAAAAACAAAAAAATCAAGTAATATCTTGGGACCACTATTTGCACATTCCAAAAATACATATATAAAGACCACCAGAAAGAAATCAGTCCAAATCAAGCAACACCTGAAATCCAACAACCCACGCTGAAAAATCTGTTGTTTCCAGCAACCAGAACAATGCTAAACTAGTGGTAGAATCTGACCTTTATAGCCCTATTTAAAAAATTCCCCCCTTAACCTGGAGTTGGGAAAAAAATTCCCCAAATCCCCACAGCCAGCTTTCTCTGCCGGTAACTTTATATAAGGAGTTGTTTTTGTTTTGTTTTTTAACATGAAGCAATACCACTGCAAAGAGTCTTTCAGCCATTGGAAATATACGTGGTTTTTTCCTGGTTTGTTCAGTCGGCAATAGAAATTGATTGAAGTCCAAATACAGGTGTAGCATTTTGTGGTTTCCAAAACAGGACCCTATTTGGACAAAGAACAGGTAACAAAAATGCCTGATTCTCTGAGAGAGCTCAAAGAAAGTATTTTGAAGCTAAATAGGTAGGGAAAAAATGTGTTTATGAGCTACAAATGTTTTGTCGATGAACCAACTGAAGGGGGAAAAAATGAGAAGTAATACCAGTAAGCAGAGAAAATGTAATGTTAAATGTATATTATTGTTGTATGGACGGCTACCTCACCATTGTCATAGTCAAGTACTTTGGGGTAGTTTGGGGGGTTTTTTTAATGCTAGCACCAGGTTGCATAGGGGGAAGGGCAACTGGTTTGGGTTCCAGGTTTTAGATAAAGGTGCTAACTGTGTGTTTTAATTTTTTTTTTCTTTTTAGTCTGCTATGTTAATAATTTTCAGGTCCCATGGATTTTTTTTTTGTTTTTTGAGGTGATGAAAAACCTACAGAGACCTCGCCCCTAGCGGAGGTTGCTAAGAGGGGCCGTGTGGTGCTATAGTATTGAGACTATTGGGAAGGGGAAAGCAAATTTGATGCCTTGCTGCCCAAAGAGACTTGTGAATTTTCAAAAGGTGCTATTTCTTTTCTTTTTTTTAAACAAGCAAAGACAAAAAATCGAGGATGGAAAAAAAATCAAACATTGCTACTAATAGGGATCAAGGTCTGAGCAATTTCTGTCTTTCTGTTGTAAAGCAGGTGGATCCCCCCTTTGGCTTCTCTTCTCCCCATTCATCCATTTCTTTCCCACCACCATTGCTCTCCTTTTGAATCTCTCCCCATCCGCATCCAGCAACCTCTTGTGCCATGCCTCTCTTTGGTCTCCTGTGGTCCTCACTCGCTGCTGACACACTCATCCTTCTCATTCATTTCCCCCCCTCTGCTCCCCTAACCTCGCCCGCATCCTGACTCTTTCTCTCTCCTGTCTTTTGGTGGGTTTACAATTCGAGCAAACCTGTCCCCCTCTTTAACAAGAGGCAGATGTTCTAGGGAGTGTGAGCGACCGAAGATTCTGTACCTATTTTGTATATGTATAATAATTTGAGATGTTTTTAATTATTTTGACTGCTGAAATAAAGCATGTGAAATGATCCAAATACACCGGTTGTTCTTCAGACTTTTCTGTCATGCAAGGCAGGTGGTCGGTTGGGGTGTTGGAGGGAGGAGCGGGGGGGACAGGGAAGGGCTCCCTACACTTTATCAGGCTTGTCTACGCTTCAAACATCAAGCAGTTTGAAAAGGCTGTGGTGTTAACTATTCTGGCCAGGAATTTACAGAAACCCAAAGATAAATCTAACTTCAAATCTAACTCCAATCTAACTTCCTCTTAGGGCCAAACTACATGTTTGTGTTTTTATAAAGAGTTCGGTCTGGGGTCCCGAGAACCAACTCGGGGATCCCACAGCCCCTAAACAGCGGCAGAGAACGGCGGTGCTTTTTTAAAAAGGAGAATCCAAATGGACTCAGAACTCTGCTACAGTGAAGGAGAACCTCCTGCTTTCCCCCCCACCCCAAGCCATTTTCCTATGCATAATAACGCTGGGGGAGTAGTTACTTCCCTGGTTTTGCTGCTCCACATGGAGCATTCTGTGCATGTGGAGTAGCAAAAACAGGGAAATAATTCTCCCCCAGCACTGTTTCCACACGGGAAAATGGCTCCTCCCACCACGGCAAAATGAGCTCTCCTGTAAAAAAAAAAAGTAATTCCCCACAGCTGCTATGTAGGTGAGGGGATTCTGAGTTGGGTCCAGGGAACCGAACTTTTTAAAAACACAAACATATAGTTTGACCCTAAGGGACTTTTGGAGAGAAGCCATGGCAGTAAAACCAGTTTTAAATCTGCAGCGTAGACAAGTCCTAGAAGATGAAAGGAGTCCAAGAAAGGCTATCTTGCAATTATCCTTTCTTTGCTTACAGATTTCTCACTTCGCATGGTTATCTTTGTCATATTTTTACTCTGTTCTTTTATGCCTGATATTCCCTCTCTATCCCCTTTTTCTTTCCTCTCCAACAACTGGCCAAGTTCTCCCCTCCCAGGTCCTCCCACTCCCTATTACGCTACTACTTATAGGCCTGCTGCCTTTTAAAATTGATCCTTTCCCTGTGCCATTCATTCAGAAATTAAGCGGTGTTGCATTTTTCATCATTTGGCTTCGCCTGCCAACAAAATCCTCACCTGCTAAATTTCTAAGTGCTCCCACTGCTGTCAGGGCTCAGGAGCCAAAGTGAAAAGGTTGGCAAATCCAGCTGGCAGCTTCATTGTTTAAAAGATTTAATCTTGTACGCAATCTCTAAATGTTTTGGTGTTTTTCTTTTCTCCACATGGATTCCCCACTTCTACAACATGTTAGCTGCCAGGAACACACACACACACACCCAGCATGAAGGTTATGGGGGCAGAAGACAACAAAATACATTGGTTATGTAGAATGGTACTTATTTTCAGTATTGAAGTGGAGAAGCCACCTTGTCCAAGAATTATAAATCACTGCAAAAGCTTTCGACTCACCCAAATGCTGAAGAAGAGGGTCCTTCACAAGGCTTCTGTCCTTCCTGGGAATATTCCACCATAAAAAAGGGGGGGGATGAGGAATTGCGTTTGCTTACCTCTCCTTAGTTCTTGCTTGATCCTCAGATCCCACTTCTCCTGTGTGACCCAGAAAACACAATATTTCTTTCAAAGGAAGGTGTATTTATTCCAGAAATCAAAGCCACTTTTCCCTCAAAATATGGTAAATACATCATTTCCATATGTCAGAAGAAACCTCCCAATTTCATTGTTCATTAGGCTGAAGAAAGGTCTTGCTTCATTTCTAAGAAGAGAGAATCTGAGACTCATACTGCCAGCAAGAGAAAAAACACTCTGTGTGTGCAAATGCACTTTTCTATATTATCCCTTCAACTTATATGGAAAATAAGCCAGCATACAAATCAAGTCCTAGGCTCCGGCCTACAAAAACTGTGACCACAAGGAATTCGTCTCTAAAATTCTATGGAGATCTCTCTTTGCTTGATATCCCAAGATAACGGTCTCCAAAGATTTTTGTTGCATCCCAACCTCCAACGTTCTTTCTTCCTTGGATTTATTTCTCCTCTTTTTCAGTTCTCCATATCTTCCATCTCCTTTTCCATTGCGCCTCATACTAAGTTCAGCCCTCTCATACACCTTTCTTTGCTTCTTCTTTCTCTCTCAGCTTTTCGCAGATGGCTGAAAATGGGCTGAACTTTCTGCTCCTTTTTGCTTTCTTACCTGATGTTCTCAGAAAGGGGAGGAGAGAAATCAAAAGTGAGAGATGGCATCCTCCCCCTCACTGTGCCAAGAAAGCCGGACGGTGTTCAATGGCCCTCATTCAGGAGTTAGCTACAAGGCCTCTTTGCCTCAAAGGGTGCTTTGTAAATGGGAAATGTATGCCGGAGACATCACACACAGCGAAAATTTGCTCCTTCCAAAAAGGCCTGATTGAGAAGGGAGCAAAACACAGCTGCTGTGCCTGCTGTTGCTCATGAATAAGTTAGCTTTTAAAAAACAACAACAACAATGAACGCAGGTTCTTTTGCATTATTGAAACCTCCAAGGGTTGCTTGGAAAATCCTAAGGCTCAAATGGGTTAGGGAAGAAAAACAGCCTCCATAGTTTCTGTCTGTGATCCTGCCTTCACCTTAGGGCTGCCAGCCTCCAGGTGGGGCCTGGAGATCTCTCACTTTTACAACTGGTCTCCAGCTGACAGAGATCAGCTCCCCTGGAGAAAATGTCTGTTTTGAAGGGTGGACTCTACGACATTGTACCATGCTGAGGCCCCTCCCCTCCCCAAAGCCCACCCTCTCCCAGATCCACCCCCAAAGACTCCAGGTATTTTCCAATCCTACTTCACCTGGAAGTAGGGTTGCCAGATCCAGGTTGGGAAACTCCTGGACATTAGGGGATGGAGCCTGGGGAGGACAGGGACCTCAGTGGGGTACAATGCCGTAGAATTCACCCTCCAAAGCATCCATTTTCTCAAGAGGAACTGATCTCTGCAGTCTGGAGATGAGCTGGAATTCTGGGGGATCCCCAGGTCCCACCTGGAGGCTGGCACCCCTACCTGGAAGACTTTGTTCCTTAAGCCCCTCCCCCTTTCAGACCAACCACTAGAGTCAGCAAACCCAGCCTAGCCTCACCCTGACCCCCCTTAATTAATTTGTCCCCCTCCCTCAACATTCTTCATCTCATTCCCACTAATCATTATTTATTTATTTATTTTATTTATATCCCACCCTCCCTGCCGAGGCAGGCTCAGGGCAGCATACATAGTATTTATTGCACAGATAAAACAAAATTGCATAAAATCACAATAAGGTCCTGTCCATACGAGGCCTTTTGGGCCAGGAGCGGGACGGAACGGGGGCGGAGCAAACGGGCACGATCCCACGGCAACATCTGGGAATCGTTGCCTGCCCGTCCTTGTTGCGTCCCAAACGCTGATACCGCGCAGCAAAAAAGCACCACCTTCCTAGGTGGTTGTATCCCTTGGAGCGGCTCAAGGCGGGCCGTGGGATCGGCCGGCGCGTCCTTGCGCCTCCGCATCTTGGCCCCCAGCCATACTGCGCATGCTCGAGCATGTGCAGTTTGGCAGCCTCCCCTTCCTATCGGACTCTTGCTCCCCGGCATCTGATCGTGGGATCCCGCCGCGGCGTCTCAAGTTCGGTGCAGCTCTGATTAGCCGTGTTTCAGCCGTCCCGTGTGGCAGCAGCCAAGGAATAGTACATACAGAATTGGCAGACTCAAGCAGTCATCACAATATGAAGTATGCAGCAATAATACTCAACTCTAGAATGCCCACAAAAAAGAAGCAAATATTCTGAGCACATTGTACAATGTATTCCACTCAAGAAGGAGGTTGGAAGAAACTAAGGCTGGAAACCTGGAAAGACCACAAAAAACAATTATAGCTGCAGATCAGAGGTCTCACTCCTGAGGGAGCAGTCCAAACATCCATCTAGAAAGGTAGTTTCAAGGAAAGTGAAGCATGCCAAACCTTACTGTAGTTTTAAAGTGGATAAAGAGGCAAGAGATGAGGTCTGCAAAGAGCATTCTAGTTTGCAGAGGAAATGCCATACAAGGGAATCATCTGGGCAGTCAACCAACAGAGGTATTGTGTCAAAGAGAAGTTTTTTAGGTGCGGCTCACTAATCGAAGGCCTGCTGGAAGAGCTCCGCCTTGCAGGCCCTTTCTCACTGCTATCTGCAGCGGATCCACTTTAGATTCTAGCTAGAATTCCAGAAAACCCTGTTCAAAGCCTAGTTCAGTGGTGGTTAACCTTAAATTCACCACCAACTACAAAACACACAACATTAGCACTTGAAAACCCTCTAAGCCACAAGTAAAATATTAGGACATATACCAGTCTTTTCGCTGAAGAGGCATGGCCCTTCCTCTTTGGATCTCCCTGGGCCAACCTAATAAAGGATTGTCTGGGGGTGGGATGACCCAGGATTCCCCCAATGCCCTCTCATCAGGGCAAGCACTGTGATGTACATATGTCTGTATGCCTTTAAGTGAGACCCCACAAACTAGTTTCTGTTTCCCCCTGTGAAGAAATGCAATTTTTTTCTGGGAGGTTT